GAGAGAGAGAGAGAGAGAGAGAGAGAGAGAGAGAATCCCAAGCAGGCTCCACACCATCAGCACGGAGCCCAACTTGGGGCTCGATCTCACGAACTGTGAGATGACGACCCAAGTGGAAACCAAGAGTCCACTTAACTGACTGAGCCACCCAGGCACCCCTCATTTAACCTCATTTTAATTCGGCCTTAATACTACTGAGTTGACCCAAGAGTGAGTGAATTTACTTAACTTGGATGGACAGCTGTAGTTTTGAAATCAACTTCACTTTGAAGGCGATGCATTTCTTCTTTTTAAAAAAAAGATGGGCAACTGCTTTTGTCCATGCAGATGCAAATGTCAGAGGAAAATGATATTCTGCCAGGTAATTCATTTGTTAGGAAATATTTAGGTATGTCTAAAACAACTTAGGTACGTGGGTCTACCTTTTCAACTATAAATTTTGTGAAATCCAGATAGAAATCAAATATGTTCAATGAAAATTTAATGTCTGAATTGACACACGCAGTGGTTGTGAGCTGGTCACAAGACTTTGAAGACAGTTCTAGAAGAATATACGATGGCTCATTAATAATTTTTATATTGGTTATGGGTGAAAATTATAATTTTTGACATGTTGGATTCAATGAAATGTATTATTAAAATTAACTTACCCGTCTCCTTTTGCCACGTTAATGCGGTTAACTAGAAAATTTTAAATGACATCGCGCGGCTCGGGTCATATTTCTACCAGGCAACGCTGTGCTAGAATGTAGCGGGAGGGGAGAACTCCGAGAAATTGAGTTGGGGGAGGCGACTCTCCCAGTGTCTTCAGCCACAGGACAGAGTGGTGGCCTCTTCTGATAAGCGCTGGGAGTCACTGAGGGCTTCTGAACAGGGGCGGGCCTCTGAGGGGTGGTCAGGGCTGGGAGGGTCTGCGAACACAGTCTGCCCGCCTTGCCCATGGGCTCGCCTACATTCCACAGAGCGCCTGAAGACGCTTGCCAACTTCTCACTCTCTGCCACTCTGCCCTGGCTCTGCCTCCAGATCACCCTCCTTGGCCTCCAGCGCCTCTGGGGGGGAGTCTCTGTCAGAGGAGGAACTGGCCCGGATCCTGGAGCAGGTGGAAGACAAGAAGAAGCTCATTGCCACCATGCGGAACAAGCCCTGGCCCATGGCGAAGAAGCTTACGGAGCTCAGGTGAGCAGGTGGCAGTCAGCCAGGGCCTCTTGATGCTCTTGAGTCCCTTCCCCCTCTCCGCCCCAAGAGGGCTTGACAAGAAGGGGGATTCACCCTCCCACTCTGCTTTGGTCTCTTCTATCCCCAGCACAAGCATAGCACCTTGGGGGCTTGGGGGTTAGCACCGAGAAAAGTGTGAGTAGCGACTGTTATTGACTGAGGCCCCGCTGTTGGCCAGCACTGAGTAGGGTCTAGCAGGAGAGACAGAGGATCATGGCGCTCTGGCCTATACCCAACCCTTCCACTGCCTGGCATCCTTTCTGTCCCATTTCCCTTTCCTTTCATCCAGTGGCTTCTGCACCTCCCTCACCACCCAACACAGACATGCCTTCCTTGGGCGGCTTTCTGTGACCCACCCTGCCCACCTCGACAGGTTCAGAGCTCCCTTTGCATTCTCTGGGCCCCAGAACCTCTTTGTGTGCAGCACACTCTCACTTGGCGCGCGGAGAACAGGGAGGGGGTCTGTCTCAGCTGCTTTCGAGTCCCGAATGCCTGACACAGGGCCCAGCTTGAGACGATGCCCCATGAATATTGGGCCTCCTCTTCCCCAACCCCCTGCCCCCAACTCCTGGTTTCAGCTCAGCTCTTCTCCCATTTCCACATGAAAGGCTGGCCCACCAAGCGTTGTGTGAGTCTCCCGTCTGTGCCGTAGTTTTGAGATAAGGCCTGGAGTCACTGTTTTACTGGTTTTCTACTAAAAAAAAAAAAAAAAAGAAAGAAACCCATCTAATACTACCATTTCCTCCCCAAGCTCCCACTTGGTTTTTCTGCCACAGGGCTGAGGGATCACGCCCCTTGTCCTTCCGTCTTCATAAAGCCATGTTCCCTGGCTCTTGTCACACCGGAGCTTCCAATCTGTCAACTGCGTCCCCCTTTATTACGTGGAACAATTTGGCAGCTGTATTTTGACACGGTGGGCCTCAATGTTTGCTCCCAAGAGGTGTAGGCAAGATGCCAGCCTATACACGGTGCCGACCCTGAGGGAGTTCTGGTAAACTGGCGTCCTCTACCCACCACGGGCAAATAATTACATGGTGCCTTAGGTGCCCACAGAAGAAGGGCCTCTATGGTGCATCCCGGCCAGTGCAGACCAACAGAACTTTGGGGGATGATGGGAACACTCTAAATCTGCACCTTTACTGCAGCCGCTAGCCATCTGTGGCTAGGAAGCCCTGGAAACATAGTTAGTGTGACCGAGTAACTGAATTTTTCATTTTATTTTCATTTACTTAAATGAGATCATCCCATGTGGCCGGTGGCTGCTGTTTGGGTGACAGGTACAGGCCTCGGCGGTGGCTGTCTTCCTTCTCGGCCCCTTTTTCTAGTCTCTTCTCCCAAGTCCCTCAGGGCCAGCTGCTTCTTCCTGTCAGGGGGTACAGAACAGCCATCTGTCACTCTCACACAGCCTCACCCCCACTCAGGTGTCACCTGAGCACATCTTTTATTAACAGCGGAAAAAGAGCAACTGAGGTGCTCATAGAAATGAGATCTCCAGCCGGCTGGGAGGCTCAGGGACGGTGAACATCCCCAAGGGCCAGTTGGCTGCCCAGAGGAGAAGTGTGACGTCTCCTCCCGTCGGCAGGCAGAGCTCCTGTCCCTGGGAGGGGTGGGAAGCGGCTAAGGCCAGGGAAATCAAACAGACCCATGCACCTGTCACTGCAGCAGGTCTCCTCAGCCAGCACTGGCCTCTTCCCTTCACAATTCCCTCCTTCCTCTTCCCTCTCCCAAGACTCTTTATCCCAGACTCAAGTCTAAGGCTGGAGAGCCTCTGGGTCTCCAGTCAGGCTGGTGCCTCTACTTAGAAGATCTTTGCTTTCTGCCGGCCCACCTTGCTAATTCCTACAGACCCTGTAAGACTCCAGCCCAGTGTGCCATCTGCAGGGAGGTCCCCACTGCCCTCCCCACATTCCAGCTGAATTATCTACTGCCGCTTAGATCCCAAGGCACGTGTCCTCACTCAACTGGGAGCTCTTGTATGCAGAGCTGTGTCTCATACACCTTTCAGTATTCTTTTTTTTTTTTGTATATACGGCCACCACTCACTGAGTGCTCCCTGGGTACCAGATGCTATTCTGAATCCTGGTATGTGTAACAACTCCTTTATTCCTTGTAACCACCCTGTGATGTAGGGACCTTTATTATTGTCCCCATTTTACCAATGAGCAAACTGAGACACAGAGCCATCCAGTAGTTTGCTCGAGCTTTACGAGGCAAGTTAAGTGGCCTGGCCAGTATTTGAATTCAAGAATCCTGGCTCTAGTACCTACACTCTTAATTTGTTTTCTTTGTTTGGTTATTTGTTTCATTTTTGAGAGAGCAAGCGGGGGAGGGCCAGAGAGAGAGGGAGACAGAGGATCCGAAGCAGGCTCCACAGGGCTCAAACTCAGAACCGTGAGATCATGACCTGAGCCTAAGTTGGACGGAGGCTTAACTGACTGAGCCACCCAGGTACCCCACCTATACTCTTAATTTGTAATCATTTGCCTGGGGTTACTGAACATTCTAGAATGCATCCCCTTGCCTCCTCTATGATTTCCTTTTCTGGTTGTGAGGTCTTCCATTGCAAATAGCATTCCCACACTACATCTTTTTCTTAGAAGCAATGGTGTGGGGACCCCGGTATCTGGCCCACTCAGGCAGCTGGTTGACCCAAGCATAGTCGTGAGGATCGAAGCAGGATGGCGATGCATGAAGAACATCAGAGGTGAAGTTGGGCAAGGCTGTGTTCACACCTCTGCTGCATCCAGGTGGCTTTGGCTGGCTGTTCAGTACCATTCAGGATGATTCCTTCCCTGTAACACTCTGAGCCTCACTTTCCTCATTTACAAAATGGGAATAACAATATCTACCTTGCAGGGTTGTTCTGACAAATTCAAAAATATTAGGTGTCCAGCACATAGTGTGGACATTTGTTAAAGCTTAGACATCTTTTGTGTCAGACACTGTGCTGACCTCTGAGAGATGAGGATGGGGAGCAAAGATGAATCAGAGACGACATTACTTACGGCATCATTAATAGCACAAGATGGGCCGTGATGTTGGCCAAAGAGTTTCTAGAGCCCATGAGTCAGGGATGTTTGCTTTCACCATAGAATGAATCGGGTGTATCCCTCTGCTTTATCAGAATTCTGCCTGATACCTTAGAAAATTACCCAAACTGCTTGCTTTCTTTAGAGAAATCTGAAGAATTCCACTTCCGGGAAGACTGGCAGACATACTTTTCCCTATTCTTCCCACTAAGTACAAGTAAGACCCGTGACATGATCTGCAAAGCAAACATAAGACTCCGAAAGGTAGAGAGAAGAAGACAGTCTGGTTAAAGACCTCAGGACCAAAGCATTGATAGGGCATTGAGTTTTGGGGTTTTCTTCTTGTCTTATATTTCCTAGACTGAATATGGGAGAAACCAGCAACCCAGAAACACAGACAAAAACACCTCAAGAAAAATCTGCTCTCTAGTCAAAGGGCTAGGAGAGGGACAGTCTAGCAAGACAGAAAACTCCTCATTAATAACAATCCCACTCCAGCCAAGCCCCACACATAGAACAGCAGCCCCATCCCCACCCCAGCAGCAAATGCCAAGTGGAGAAGCCTAGATTTCCTCCCTTGCCAGGGTATAAATGGTGTCCCCAGTGCCCCCACCATTGGGTGGAGGTATTAGAGAAAGTTGAGTGGGGAACAGGGACTTTCATCCCCACTGGGCAATAATGAAGTAATGAACCGTCCCTGTCCCTCTGGTGTCCGTGCAAGCCACATGGGGAGGCTGGACGTTCGCCACCACCTGACAGTAACAAGACATCCGTCCTAGGCAGGATGTTATGAGTAAAACCTGCTTGGGTGCCTGAATTCCCATTCCTGCTTAGTAGTAATGAAGAGTTCCTGCCCAGCCCAGGTGCCAAAGTAGGCCAAGGGAAGAACATGGACTTCCATCTGGAAAGTCCATATAAATAGATATGATATATATGAGAGTGTGTGTATACACACACACTTTATATTACATACTATATTATATGGTAATATATAGTAATAATTACATTATATGGTACTATATAGTCATACTTAGAGCAACTACTGAAAAGGGCATATGAGGAGAAAAATGGAATCCTAAAAGATGTTCAGATAACCTGCAGGGAAAAACAGATAACAATCAGAAACAAAAAATAAAAAGGCAGGTTTAAACCCTAACATATCAACAATTACATTAAATGTAGGTGGTCTAAATATACCAATTAAAAGACAGATTGGCAGAGTAATTTTTAAAATGACTTAACTGCATACAGTCCGAGTCCATAAACTGACTTTAAATATGATGACCTATATAGGTTGAGAGTACAAAGATGGTAAAAAGACTTAGACCATGCAAATGTTATCCAAAATAAAGCAGTAGAAGAGGCTATGTGAATATCAAATAAATTTGACTTCAGAGTGAAGAAAATTGACAGGGACACAAAGGAACATTATAGAATGATAAAAGGGTCAATCCACCAAGAGGAAGATGTAACAAACCTCAAAGTGTAAGCACCAAAGATAGCAGTGGCTTGGGTTCTACAGTATATTATCTCGGGATGTGTAATAAATTACCCCAAAACTTAGCAGTTTAAAACAATAATAAACATTTCCTATCTTCTATGGGTCAGAAATTCGGGAGCAGCTTAGCTGGACAGTTCTGACTTGGAGTCTCTCATAAGGTTGGGTTAAGATGTTGGACAGGGCTGCAGTCATGTGAAGGCTTAACTGGGGCTGGTGAATCTACTCCCAGGGTGGCTCACTCATGTGGATGACAAGTTGATGCTGGGTGTTAAAACAAACAAACAAAAAAAAAGTCCTCAGTTTTCCTTTGTAGGATACTTGAGTATCCTCATGACAGGGCACCTGGCTTCCCTCAGAAGAGTATGTATTCGAGGAGGAAGTCACAATACCCTTTATGTCCTCCTCTCAGAAGTCATAAACAGTCGGGGCACCTGGGTGGCTCAGTCGGTTAAGCGTCCAACTTCGGCTCAGGTCATGATCTCACGGTTCGTGGGTTCGAGCCCCGCGTCGGGCTCTGTGCTGACAGCTCAGAGCCTGGAGCCTGCTTCAGATTCTGTGTCTCCCTCTCCCTCTGACCCTCCCCTGATCACGCTGTCTCTCTCACTCTCTCTCAGAAATAAATAAAACATTTTAAAAATTTTTTAAAAAAAGGAAGTCATAAACTGTCACTTCTATCACATTCTAGTCATTGGAAACAAGTCACTAAGTCTGGCCCACATTCAAGGGGAGGAGAGTTTGGTTCTCCATTTTATTGTTTTGGGGTTTGTTTTTGTTTTTGTTTTTGAGAGAGAGAGAGCAGGGGAGAGGGAGGGAGGGAGAGAATCCCAAGCAGGTTCCATACTCAGTGCGGAGCCTGGCATGAGGCTCGATCCCACAACCCTGGGATCATGATCTGAACTGAAATGAAGAGTCAGACACTCAACCGCAACTGAGCCACCCAGGCACCCCTGGTTCTCCATTTTAAAGGGAAGAATAATAATTTGGCAACATATTTTTAAACCACCACTTCTGGAAGCCAGGCATGCTCAGTTAGCCCCCCTGCCCTCAGATTGGCTCTAGAGCAGATGCCTTACCTGACTGCTCTGAATTTCCGCTTAGCATGAGCTCAGCATTTATTTGACCCTTGTCTCCACAACTGAAAATGGAAATTGCTTGGGGACACAGAGAGACACCAAACCAGCATAGCCCAGACCACCTTTAACCTCTCTGCACCTCCAGCCCCTAACCACCTCCTTTTGACCTCCAAGTGCATCCTTCCCATTTCCAGGCATCTTCCAGATGTCAGGCTGGCTGATACTCTCTCCCAATGTCCCACAAGGGACTGCAGAGCTCTATTGAGGATGTCATCAGACACAGAGCTGCCCTGTGTCTAGTTTTCCGCATCTATAAATTAAGTGTGGTATGGAATCTGAGCTCCTTCATCAAGGAAGAGTTTTTAGAGGTATATAATGTCTCCAAGAGTTGCCTTGGGTCAACTTCAGAGTGTTTCCGCCGTGGAAGGCCACATCTCTGAGCCCCTTGTCCAGGCACCTGGGAGAGCAGAGGGTTCCTCACCCCAGCCCCTTGAGTTTGGCAAAATCTCATCAGCTGCCCACCCCAGAAACTTCTGCTTTCTCAGAAGGGGGAAGGGTGACTGCCTGCTGAATGAAGTCGCTATGCTCACATTGCTGTGCATTCATACTTCCAATTCTCACATCCTCATCCCCGTTTCTAGATGAAAAGTGCCACTCTGGGAGGCACAGAATCCTGCCTGGGGCTCCACTCTGGTACTGAAAGCCCCACAAAATACACCTCCTTCCCTCCCAGCAGCAATCGCTGCCTCCCCCCGCCCCAGCTCTGTTTTCCAAACTGTGGTTTGGGCCATGTTATTTCCAAGGAGGGTGGATTCTGAAGCACTGTCTGTGGTGTGACTGAGCCTGAAAGCCCTTTCCTCCATAACTTCCTCTTCTGCTGAGTGTTGGAGGGGCCTGAGGGGCTCATCATCACTTCCAGGAGTGATCCAGGCCCCGTGAAGCTTCCTAAGAACAAATGGGTCCCTCCTTTCTTGCCCTTCCACTGCATTTACCACCCACCATCTGATGAGAGGAAAAAGAGGCAAGTTCCTGCGAAGTTCCTGTTTCAAAGGACACTTGGTGACAAGGAGGGGACAGAAGCATCTTACAGAAGTAAGATTTGCAACAATTAGGAAGGGCAGGGCAAGAGCGAGTGGTTTCCATAAACCAAATCCTCTCTGGTAAGGAAGATCACGAGAGCCTGGATTACAGGTAACAGGTGTATAGGAGTTTGCTGCAAAAAGTTAGTTACTATTTATATCCCTTTACAGGACCCAGGAAAGCTTGCTGTGTCCATCAGCCTTCTTAAACTAGGTGGGTTCTTTACTGCGAACGGCCCTCAGAGTTTGCACCCAGTGCTGGGCAGGGCCCTCTCTTCTCCTGGGTGCTCTCCGGGGATCTAGACACAGAGTCTGGACATCAAGAAGAGAAGCATTTGCCGCCGGGCTCAATGGTTCAGGCACAAGAGCTGGCTCTTACTTTTCGAGAATTCTCATTTGAAGTCCCCAAACCTTAAAGGCTGGCACATTCAGAGTCACAAATTCCAAGTGCCTACAAGCCTCTTGCTCAGTGTAAGATACAAGAAGAGAACAGAAATACACATTTTTTGAAAACATTTTTTTTGTGTCGTGGCTATGTTGGTAGCCCTGGACATGTCCTGCCCAGGGGGCCACAGGGAGCTACTGTCATTACAGAGCCTGACTCTCACGCAGACAGGGTTTTGACCCCGGGGCTCAGGAGCTAGACAGTCAGCCTCATTAGTTTGAGACGTCGGAAAAAATAAAAACCAGCTTCAGGACTGACCTGAGGTTAGAATGTGACTTTGACTCTTGCCACCTGCCCACACCTGCGCTGTGGAGGTGGGGTAGGGATTCTTCCAGCCACCCTGCGATGGACTTTCTTCCTCATCTGCTTGTGCGGATCTATCCGGCGGCTGCTGACAAACCGGCTGTCTGGGGTGGGGGTGGGGGTGGCATAGAGGGGGCCTGATTTGTAGCCTTTGCTGATCTCCCTGGTCTAAATACTCCCACTGTGGCCAATTTCAAGCTACCTCCAGCTTAACAGCTGGTTGGTCAAGTTCCTGAATATTTAACAGTCAGGTCCCAGGAGCCAGTTCCGACTAGCACACCACCCAGAATACTTAGCAGACAAACTGATCTGTGTGTTTCGCATCCAACCTTCCCCAGATATTCACTCACTCATTCAACATTCATGCAGTCCACAAATGTGAATGCTGCATTCATTTCCTTTTTCTTTGTTGAAGTATAGTTGACATGCAATACTCTGTTAGTTTCAGGTGTACCGTGTAGGGATTCAACATTTATATACATTACGAAATGCTCACCATGGTAAGTCTGCCTACCATCTGTCACCATATTATTATGACTATACAATATTCTTGACTATATCCCCTAGGCGGCACTTTACATCCCTGTGATTTACTTATTTTATAACTGGAATCTTTTACCTCTTAATCCCCTTCATCTATTTTGCTGTATTTGTTTCTATTGCTGCTGCAACACATTACCGCAAGTGTAACTGTTTCAAGACCACGCTCATCTATTTGTTCACAGGGCTGCTAGCCAGAAGTCCAGCATGGCGGGCATGGCTAGATTCTCTGCTCAAGGTCTCACTGGGCTAAAATCAAAGTAGTAGCCGGACTGAGGTGCCCATGTGGGGCTAGAGGTCCTCTTCCAAGCCCACTGGGTTTTAAGAGAATTCACTTCCTTCTCTTGCTTTCCTTTTTTTTTTTTTTTAATTTTTTTAAATGTTTTATTTATTTCTAGGAGAGAGAGAGAGAGACAGCGTGAGCAGGGGAGGGTCAGAGAGAGAGGGAGTCACAGACTGAAACAGGCTCCAGGCTCTGAGCTGGCAGTCAGCACAGAGCCCGACGCGGGGCTCGAACNAGAGAGAGAGAGACAGCGTGAGCAGGGGAGGATCAGAGAGAGAGGGAGTCATAAACTGAAACAGGCTCCAGGCTCTGAGCTGGCAGTCAGCACAGAGCCCGACGCGGGGCTCGAACCCACGAACTGCGAGATCATGACCCAAGCGAAAGTCAGATGCTCAACCGACTAAGCCACCCAGGCACCCCCCTTCTCTTGCTTTCCATGTGGCGTCCTCTAGACGGGCCCCAGCAACAGAGGGTCAAGAATTCTCTTAATTCTAATTTCTCTGACTTCCCCTTCTGCCACATCTCTCTGATTCTTCTGCCTTCTTCTGTGTTTAAGGGCCTATGTGGTCACTCTGGGCCCTTCCAGAGAATCCAGGATAATCTCCCTATTTCATTTATTTATTTTTTTATGTTTCCTTATTTTTGAGACAGAGACAGAGTGCTAGTGGGGGAGAGACAGAGAAGGAGACACAGAATTCAAAGTAGGCTCCAGGCTCTGAGCTGTCAGCACAGAGCCCGACACAGGGGTCGAAGCCACAGACCAAGAGATCAGGACCTGAGCCGAAGTCAGAAGCTCAATCGACTGAGCCACCCAGGCGCCCTGAATCTCCCTATTTTAAATTAGGAATCTTAATTACATCAGCAAAGTCCCTTTTGCCATTCATGGATGTACCACCAGAGAGCAAAGGTCATGGGAGCCAAAACTCTGCCTGCAGGTGCCTACCAGGTACTAAGCACCATTCTTAGCATTTGGAAAACTTCAGTGAACGAAACAGACAAATGCCCTACCTTCATGGAGCTTACAGTCTAACTGGGGGTATAAAAACACTTAAGGCTTCCAGCCACATATATACTCTCAGAGTTCAGATTTCTTTCAGTTTGGGATTAATTGAAGTTCTGCCTCTACCCCCACCCCCACCCCTTTTTTTTTTCCTAACCAGGGAGGCCCAAGAATTTGTGGAGAAGTATGAAGGAGCCTTAGGAAAGGGGAAAGGCAAGCGACTTTATGCCTACAGGATGCTGATGGCTAAGGTGGGTGGTACAGAGGCAGCAACCCTGGGGTAGGGCTTGCTCAGCCTCTGCATTCATGTCCAGCTCCCCCCAGAATCCTCCGCGTGAGGTCCAGCCGATCGTCCAATTTGTCCAGGAAAGGAAACCAACTGTTTCCTGTCCATTTCTCTACATGTACCTGTGAGGACTTCAGTGTATCTGAGACTTGTTTCCTCTCCAGTGAGGAATTAAGCTCACAAAATTGATGAGGTTAAAATCACTGGGATCTTATTTTCCAAGCCCCAAATCAGGATGCTTCATTTGATAAGTCATCCATTTTTATGTAACACGCTGAGCGGGTTTTTTTCCTGCATTCTCTGTTCATGGGTGTGTTTGAGTTTTAACTTTTTCTTGGGGCCATTTTGATATTCTTATTCTTCCCAAAACTCGATTATTTCATTAAGATCTTCATATGTATTACCAGGAGGTCGCAGATGGCAGTCACATAATTATTGGATCTACTTTCTGTGTATGTTGGCTTTGAGTCTTTTTTATTTCTAATATTCTTTTTTCTCCTTTTGGTTAAAATTTTTTAGGTTTAGGGGCACCTGGGTGGCTCAGTCGGTTAAGCGTCCGACTTCAACTCAGGTCATAATCTCATGGTTCGTGGGTTCGAGCCCCGCGTCGGGCTCTGTGCTGACAGCTAGCTCAGAGCCTGGAGCCTGCTTCTGATTCTGTATCTCCCTCTCTCTGACCCTGCCCTGCTCACACTGCCTCTCTCTCTCTCTCAGAAATAAATTTTTAAAAAATTTTTTTAATTGAAAAAAATTTTTAGGTTTATTTATTTATTTACTTTGAGAAAGAGAGACAGAGAGACAGAGAGAATCCCAACCAGGTTCTGCACGGTTAGGGTAGAGCCCGAGGCAGGGCTTGAACTCATGAACCATGATATCATGACCTGATTTTTTCTCCTTTTTCAATCTTATTTGCCTGGTAACTATCTTCGGGTCATTTTATTAATTTGATATAGAGGCTATTTACCACTTAATAACTGCACACTTAGGTCTTCTTTTTTCCCCAGCTGAGGAATATGCTCTTCAAATAAATCTTTGCTAAATGATTCTGTTTAATTGTGTTTCCCTGCAAATAGTTCTAGTTCTTTCTTGGGAAAAGGATAGCTGCCCATCCTCTGTCTGTGTTTACCTTCCCTCATTATTTTAGATTCTTTGCTTCCTCTCTCTGCATTCTCAGAAATGTCTCAGGCTTATTCTCAATAGCATCGAATCCATTTTCTTCTGTTTCAGTTATAGGCTTTATTACGTATAATGTTTACTCTCCTACAATTATTGGGCTTTTAGTTACCTTGTGATCCTTCCATGCTTCCCTTACATTCTTTTTAAAAACTTAAAGTATTATATTCTTTACTTAGAAACCGTATTTCTTGTATCCTATTGTGAATGCGGACTCGTTTGTCAAAAATTAGTTATGTAGCCTGAAGGAAATGCTTTTCAAACATTGCAAAGAGGGCCGCCTGGGTGACTCAGTAGGTTAAGCATCTGACTTCAGCTCAGGTCCTGATCTCACAGTTGGTGAGTTCAAGCCCTGCGTTGGGCTCTGTGCTGACAGCTCAGAGCCTGGGGCCTGCTTCGGATTCTGTGTCCCCCTCTCTCTCAGCCTCTTACAGGCTAATACTCTGTTTCTCTCTCCTTCAAAAATAAATAAACATTAAAAAATGGGGTTTGGTTTTTTTTTTAATTACAAAGAGGTGTGTCCCCTTTCCTTGTACTGCAATACTATTTCTCAGGCCTTGCTGGCTGTTTTAGTCATTCAGACCTGAATTTCCTGCGCAGGCAGGATAGCTTGCCTGTGTCTTATTTGCCCACTGTCTGAAAGCCTGTTTCTATACACAGCTGGAGACAAGCACATCTCATCCCCAGTCCCGGGCTCTGAGAAAGGGAGCCAAGGTCTTCTCCTGACTGCATCCCATCCCAGTTTTCTGATTCTCTAAACCACCGAGGGATAAGAGCTTCACTACAGGCCTTCTCAGCCTCTGCTGAGATGTGTAGGGCATCGCTTTTCAGGCCAAGATGCCTACCTCCTTGAGGGGGCTGTCAGCTGGTTGCTAAATGATCAACTAACTGACAGGCCGTCCCCAGGGGCCCCCCTGAGCCACGTTCATTACCCCTATTGGCCCTCAGCCTTGCAAGTCTGTACCGATTTTATCGGCACCCCAACAGGGGATCTATCTCTCGGGGGAGGACTCCTATTAATAAAGCTTCTGAGACTGATAGGTAAAACCAGGTGACGGGTTATTAATTTACAAGAGAAATAACCAAGGACAGAACTGGAAAGGTGAGGTCCACATCAGCAGTGCCATTTATTTTCGATAGTAGAGTCACTTACATGGGTGGCTAAACCATAATCCCAATTCTAATCTATTAATTTGCAGTGACAAAACACTCACTGCCTTTGAAACCGAAATCCTCACAGCCCAGGTGATGGGCAATGCTTTCCTTAGAGACAGACGTCTGTAGAAAGCCAGTTAAACCAAAGATTAATTTTTTTAGTGTTTATTCATGTTTGAGAGAGAGAGAGGTAGGAGAGGGGCAGAGAGAGGGAGACAGAGGATCCATGTTGACAGCAGAAAGCTGGATGCGGGGCTTGAACTCACAAACCGCAAGATCATGACCTGTGCTGAAGTCAGAGCCTTAACCAGCTGAGCCGCCCAGGCGCCTCAAGACAAAGATGAATTTTGAGTGTGGAATCAAAGCTCAGGAAGGCAGATAAAGCCATGGGACTGGGGTGCCCAGTGTCCACCATCTGCTACCCCCTTCTGTCTTGGGGGGTATCTTTGCCATTGTTCTCAACCAGGCTTTTGCTTACAGGTCCTCTTCTCTATGACATCTGCACCCCCCACCCTCTTCTACAGGTGGTTTCCTTCCTTCTATAGCAATCATCCCATCGAGTTATGGTCAAAGCCTGCAGGTCTAGAAACTCGTCTGATTCCTTCAGATAAATTTCCCTTTGGATCCTTTAGTGAATTTACACGAGAGAACTCATTTCCTTCATGCACATGCTCTTAGGAGACCTTTATAATAATGGAAACTGATCTTAGAGTCTTCTCCTCCTACCTCCTTGTCTGTTTTCTCTGAGTTGTTGTTTTTGTTGTAGTTGTTCAATTCCAAATGGGTTCATTTCTGGAAAGAGGGGTTGTTGGAGAGCAGCGCCTTGAGAGTTAACAAATTTTCACCCAACCAGCAGCCAGACAGCTACTCAGGTTTCTGACTAGTAGGAACTCTGAGTGTTGGAGCTGGAAATAGACCATGGAGAGAAGCAAAATGCCTCTCTAACTCCTTTCAGAAAAAAACAAAAACACGAACAAAGAAACAGGCTGTTATTTCACTGGGAGAAGAATGGAAGCTGTGGTTTGAGGTTCTACCAATTGTACCAGCACTGCATTTGAGCGACAGTTCCTATCAGATTTAGACACTTGACTGTCTGTCAAATGCGAGTTTGAGAGCCACGAGAGTTCTTTTTTCCCTTCAATTTTTGTTTTAAGATAAAAAAAAAAAAGGTGTATCAGAGACTGCACCCGATTTGATCCCCCAAACCAGACATCATATACAGAATTCCTAAACTGTTATATACACTGTCCAAACTTGACATTTTACCAGCGCCACAGACAAACACAAGGGATTATGTTGTCCTGGTTTCTCTCATACTCGCTCCTGACTTTGGTGGTGACCTGTCAGCATCAACGCCCCCTCCAGTGTGTCCCTCCAGACCCCAAGGCGAGATGTTAATGAACTGAGTGCGTTACCTGTTTAATTTCAGAAGTGGGTCAAGTTTAAGAGAGACTTTGATAATTTCAAGACTCAATGTATACCCTGGGAAATGAAGATCAAGGACATCGAAAGTGAGTATTTTGGTGTCAGTGTTTGCAGTTCGTTTGCTAAAATTTTCCAAGGGCTTGGATTGTGTTCATGGCCAACTGATCAGATCATTTCACATTGTATTGGGAAAGAGAATGGGCTTTGCACTAGTCAGACCAAGATTTAAACTGTGTTTCTTCACTTTCTGATCGTGGGAGTTGAGGTAGAGTGGTTAATCCCACAGAGCCTCAGGTTATTTATCTGGAAAAAGAAAATGGAGATCAGAACATCTGTTCCACAGCTGATGGGAAAACTGAATCCATCACACACACAAAGTGCTCAGTAGCGCTAACGCCCTCTCCTTCTGCAGCACTTAAATCCCACCATCTTTTCTCTCCCCAGGTCACTTTGGTTCCTCGGTGGCTTCGTATTTTATCTTTCTCCGGTGGATGTATGGAGTTAACCTCGTCCTTTTCGGCTTAATCTTTGGTCTCGTTATAATCCCAGAGGTAGGACAAGAGTTTCCTGTATCTTTAGATAATGTTGAGGCTTATGGTGACACCGTCCTCATTAACCAAATACTCTCTGTTTTCAGTCATTCTGATTTTTTAATTCACTACTGCCATCAACTGCGCAGATAGTTCAGGACAAAGAATGGAACCAAATACTTCTGTTCCTAAATTAAGAAGTGGACCCTACACTTTTCTTTTGTTTTTACCTTCAGTGGAGAATTAATATCTTAATAAGTTTTTTCTTTTACTCTGAAAAAAAAAAGAGATAGAATGGATTCTATCATAATTTATTACAAAAAAAACCCACAAACAAACAATAAAAACAACAACAGAAAAACGAACTCTCATGAGGCACCTGGGTGGCTCTTTCAATTGAGTGTCGGACTCTTGGTTTCAGCTCAGGTCATGATCTCACAGTTTGTGGGTTCAAGCCCCGTGTCAGGTTCTGTGCTGGCAGTGAGAAGTCTGCTTGGGATTCTTTCTGCCCCTCCCCTGCTTGTGCTCACTCTCTCTCAATTATAAAAAATGAAATAAACTTTAAAAACAAAATAAAACAAAACCTTCACATTTAAATAGCACTCCTTCCTTCTCCCAGATAAAACCTTATTACAGATGTAAGTACATCCTTACCTATAGATGAGTAATGGAGCGACAAAAACAGAATAAGCAAATGATGTAAAGACACACAGTAAGTTTGTAGTGAATGAGATCCCAGGTCTCCAGAGTATTGGCTTGGTATCCAATTTAACAAATTAGAAGAAAAATTTAACAAATTAGAAGATTTCTGTGAGGAATACCATCCAGCATTACAGGACCAATATATGACTACATAAACAAGATGACTTATTCTTGGAAGGGAAACTTAATATCATAAAAAAAAAAAAAAGCCAATTCTTCCTAAATCAATATGTAAATTTCATACAATTCTGATTTTTTTTTTAGAATTAAGTGTGCAAATACAGGCATATATATTAGGGTATTAATAACAGAACTAGATACATGTGAAGAACTAGCAACATCCTGATGTCCAACAAAAGGTTATTTGTTAAGGAAGTTTATGATAGATGCATGTGATTAGATATTTTGAAGTCATTTTATTTTGAGACTCTACATGCCATACAGAATTGGTCATAAAACAATGAAACAATATTAAGCTAAATAACCATACCATTACATATACATATGTAACACATATAACATATGTATATATAACTCAAACAACTGCAAGGAAATATACGAATATCTAACCGTCATTATCTTTGGGATGTGAAGGTGACAAGGAATTTTTTCAACTCTCTCCTGCACTTTTTCACATTTTCTCCAATGAGTATGTGATAGCTCTAAATCCGGAGAAGTGATTCATGTCATCTAAGGGAGAAAATGCGTATGTCCTGCTCTGAGAAGGGAAATATTTCCCCGTATATGAATGCCTCCCTGTGTTTGTATCTTCTCCACGCCTCATCATGTCATTCTGTCCCTTCACAAGGTGCTAATGGGCGTGCCCTATGGAAGTATTCCCAGGAAGACAGTGCCTCGGGCTGAGGAGGAAAGAGCCATGGATTTCTCTGTGCTTTGGGATTTTGAGGTACCATCACCAATAAGCCAGCGCGCCTCTATTACGTGGTTGTGAGGCCTAAAGATTGCATGGGTGCGTGTGAAATATTGCATTTAACCGTTGGAAAACCAGTGCTTTACTCAAATGGGATCTCCCACTATGCAAAATGAGCTAATCAACTATGTCCTCCTAGGTCCCCTTCCTGGGTCCTTTCTCCAGCTACACACTGCCCCCCTCTCTCTACCAGATCCATGTAAGTGATCTTACAGGATAGTTTTCTCTCCCCACACCCACATTAAGACTCCAGGGCTCTTCACCAGTTCAGCTGTTCCCAAGCTTTACATGGTATCCGCCACTGAATATCCTGCCTGTTCCTCAAATTCAGTGCCTCTCCAGCCACACCCACATCACTTTTCCCCTTCTCCTTTATTGGAACCACCATATATCCAAACATCCAGGTGTGACACATGAAAGTCATCGTACACTTCGCCCTCTTCCTCACCACCGCCCCCCCACAACCAATCAACCACTAAACCTGAGCCTTTCTACTAAACCTTTCTTGACTTGGTCTCCCTTTCCGCATCCCCCTTGCCTCTTCTTCAAATAATGTCCCCACAGTACCAGGACCATGTCAGAATCTTCTACCTCTACTCCCTGCTTTGACTGGGCTCTTAAAATCTCCATTCCCTCTGCTGCCAGAGTGATCTTTCTGAAATGTAAACCTGACCCTGTCCCTTCCCTACCTTGGATATTCACCTGTCCTTGCTCCCAAATGGAATAAAATCCGGTGTTTTGAATCAGGTTGATGAAAGAACGGCTCACCATCCGGCCGCTCCCTCCATCTCCAGCCCCATTTCTATCTCAGACCTCACACTCTTGTATTTGTCAAGTTTGGGGGAAGTCCCCGAACGCATCACATACCAGTGCCTCCCTGCTTGGGACACTGCTTGGAACACCCTTCCCTCCTTTATGAATCCCCTCACCTCCATGCCTCTGGGGGGGCTTGGTCTGTAGCTCCAGGGAGTTCCTGAGGCTGGGAGGCCTGGCTGTGATGGTTCAGGCAACAGGTCATTGCTGCTGCTGTCCTTCATGCTCCTGGGCAGGTCCAGGACCTCTCAGGTATGTGTGGAAGTGAGTTGGAGTATTTTTCTAAGACATTTGGAATAAGTGCGTTCCAAATAACTACTACACAACTCTTATATACTACTACTACTGTGTACTACCTAAGGATTTCCTTTATTCTTTTTTTCCCCTTTATTTATTTTTGAGAGAGAGAGAGATTGAGCACACGCAGGGAAGGGGCAGAGAGAGGGAGACAGAGGACCCAAAACCGGCTCCATGCTGTGAGTGCAGAGCCTGATGCATGGCTCAAACTCATGAACTACTCATGAACCATGAGATCATGACCTGAATCAAAATTAAGAGTCAGCCACTTAACTGACTGGGCCACCCAGGCTCCCCTATTTTTTTTTTTAAGTTTATTTATTTATTTTGAGAGAGCGAGAGGGAGAGCATACTGTCATGCACAAGTAGGGGGAGAGGCGGGGGGAGAGAATCCCAAGCAGCTCTACACCATGCAGGGCTCAGATTCATGAATGAAAGATGACCTGAGCCAAAGCCAGATCTCAGATGCTTGACAGACTGAGCCACCCGGGTGCCCCTCCTTTGTTCTTTATTTCACTCAAGGACTCCTATGGAAATATCCTATATGCCCAAAACAAACTGAATTTATTCAACAATAATCCTCTGTTTTGTTGTCGTTGTTGCTACCAATGGCAAAATTTTCTTTTTCTTTTTTTTTTTAATGTACTTTTTAAAAAAGTAATCTCTACAATCTCTACACCCAATGTGGAGCTCAAACTCACAACCCCAGGGTCAAGAGTCACATCCTCCACCAACTGAGCCAGCCAAGTGCCCCTAAAATGTCATTACTCAGGCTAAAATTAAAGTTTGGGGAAACTTCTATCCATCACCATGACAGCGCAGTTTCTCAGTGGCTAAATCCTTTTCTGATGAGATCAATGAAGATATCGCCTGGGTGACTCAGTCGGTTGAGCATCCGTCTTCGGCTCAGGTCATGATCTTATGGTTCATGGGTTCAAGCCCCACGTCGGGCTCTGTGCTGACAGCCAGCTCAGAGCCTGGAGCCTGCTTCAGGTTCTGTGTCTCCCTCTCTCTCTGACCCTCCCCTGCTTACGATGTCTGTCTCTCTCTCAGAAATAAATAAAACATTAAAAATAAATAAATAAATAAATAAATAAATAAATAAATAAATAAATACTGTGTAAGAAGCACATCAACATTTGGCAGATTTTTATAACTCAGAGAACCATTCTTTTCCACATGACCAATCCATGATGTTACAGAATTACATGTGGGGAAAAGATAGTACAAGATAGAACAATTAAGCCTTAGAAACTTTAAATCTTGAGATAATTTTTTAAAATCTTGGGATAATTTGAGACTTACAGAAGAGTTGCAAAAAGAGTACAGCATTCCTGTATACCCTCTACTCGGCTTCACTTTATGACAACATCTTATATACCCATAGAACAAAACTAATAAATAAATCTTGGTACAGTAGTAAAAGGAAGTATAGTATTTATTTGGATTTTACCAGTTTTCCACTAATATTCCTTTTCTATTCTGGGACCCGATTCAAAATCTCATATTGTATTTGTCCTGTCTCCTTAGACTCTGCCAAATCTATGACAATTCTCCGTCTTTCAGTGACCTTGGTACTTTTGAAGAGTACTGGTCCATTGACCTTGATACTTTTGAAGAGTACTGGTGTGTTGACCTTGATACTTTTGAAGAGTGCTGGTCCGTTGTTTTGGAGAATGTCCCTCAGTTTGCAGACCTAATGATCTCTCATGATTGTAATGAGGTTGTACATTATCGGGAAGGCTACCACAGAGATAATATGCCCTTCTCAGGGGGCCAAACTGGGGTTACATTATGCTGATCTGTGTTATTACTGGTGGTATTAACAGTGACCACTTGGTTAAAGTAGTGTCTGCCAGAATTCTCTGCTGTGAAGTTAGTATTTTTCCGTTTTCAATTACTCAGTATTTTGGGGAGTACAATGGATTTTAATATAACAAGATATGAAAAGTTAATTATGTGATTCAGATTCTACATTACAAGTAAATATAAGATGACTATTATTGAGCTGAGGTATCATCTCAAAGAAGAAACAACGTAGGGGCACCTGGGTGGCTCAGTTGGTTAAGTGTCTGACCTTGGCTTAGGTCAGGATCTCATGGTTCGTGAGTTCGAGCCCCGTGTCAGGCTCTGTGCTGACAACTCAGAGCCTGCTGAGGATCCTTTTTCTCCTTCTCCTCTGCCCCTCCCCTACTCACACTTGCTCTCTTGCATGTTCCCTCTCTAAATAAATAAATAAATAAATAAACTTTAAAATAAATTAATAAATAAATAAACTTTTATTAAAAAGGCAAAAACCCTAAAGAACAATGAAAAAAGACTTGAGGTTCAGATTCAACTGTGAGCCTTACAATGTATATGTAAGTTTTGTTCTGAGAAAGCTCACAGACTCCCACCTCCTTCTGGAGTGTTAAATTAAGACCCTGGAACTGTGTGGGGAAAGAATTTGGAGGTCTGTGTGCATATGCACACGCGCTCATGCACACACACACACACACACACACACACACACACACACCCTTATCCCTAATTGTATCCAGGACGAAACAATGCTCTCCTCCTCGTCCTGTATCCACATGTATTCTGTATAATGGAGACTAAAGAGAACGAAAGAGAGACACGGAGACACAGATAGACTGGGGATCACCTGGGGGAACTTAAAGGAAGAACAAAGACACCCACAGTTCTTCCTTTCTCCTCTCAGACTCCCTTTAACCCCCTGAGAAAGAAATTCCTGGTAGAATGAAAGTGTCTGATGACTGTCTACACTAAGCTTACAAACCCGGAGTGTTTGGATCTGCCGTCCCACAGGGCTACATCAAGTACTCTGCCCTCTTCTACGGCTACTACAACAACCAGAGGACTATCGGGTGGCTGAGGTACAGGCTGCCCATGGCTTACTTTATGGTGGGGGTCAGCGTGTTCGGCTATAGCCTGATGATTGTCATTAGATCGTAAGTATGGCCGTCTCTTTCACAGGCTTTTCATTCCCTTCACCCAAACACCCCACTCCTATGGCCACTCTGTGCCTGCTTACCTTCTTGCGGGAATTTAGAGAGAAAATAAGGAAACAAAGAAAGTATACATGGATTGTCATATGTGGTATAAAAAGATAAGCAGGGTAATAGGGGAGGTTTGGGGAAATGGGATAGAAACATCTTTACATGATGCTGAGAACTGCCAACCACACTAGAAGTCTGGGGGACAGCATTTTACACAAAGGAAGAGCATATGCAAAGGGCCGGAAGCAGCAAATCTCCTAATGAGTTCCAAAACCTGTCAAAAGGCCAGTGTGGCTTGAGAGGGACCAAGTACCTGATCAGGTAAGACCGGAGAAGTCTTTGAGGTCTGTTTTTGCTTTCCCCAGACCTCAGCTTCCTCAGAAACACTCTTCTGCTTCTCTGTAACTCTAGCTTGCATCTGAGTACTGAGCCCCTCACTTCTAAAGATATCAACAAAAAGTGCAAAGGAACATATGTGGTGTGATTAATGATGGTGACCTCTCCAGCCCCAACTCTACCTGTATCCATGGTCAGAAATGGCCTTTTAATATGTCTGTGCCTCTTCATTTATGTTCTCTGAAGAAAAACTTCTAAGCCAGGGGGCCCCAGTCAGCAGAGGCTGGTGCAGGTTGGGGGGCACCGTCTCCTGCACAAACCTGACTCCCAGGGCCCACCCACCCTTTAGCGGGGCCACCAGAGGTCACCCCTCGCAGAAGAGTACAAGTAGCTGTGTCTGCAGGAGAGGAGTAGAGCGCTCTCAGAGCCTGGGCAGAACCTCTGAAGGGGTGGTGTGCGGGCCCAGCACAGCTTTCTGTCACATCATCTCAGGGGGAAATGCTGCCATTCACAAGGGCCTGCCCAGCCCGTGACAGTAACCACCAGGTGATGGGTAGCCGTCCTGCCGGCTCTATCTGGCCAAAGAGAAAAGCAAGGAGATGGGCTTGGCCGTCATGTTGTTACATTTTTTTCCCTGTTATTAGCCCAGATAAGTATAGGGCTATGGAATGTTTCCCTGATGGATATGGAATGTTTCCCTGATGAACCAAAAAGCTAGCTAAGTGCCTGGAATAGCAAATCCCAAAAGCCAACACATGAGACAGAGAGGCACAACTTCTCCCCCGACCCCCACATTATACCTGATAAGAGGATCTGCTCGGAAGTCTACCTCCCGCAGGGCTGGACTCCAGGGAGCACAAAGCAAGAATGAGGACAGGTGGGATAAAATGGATGCGTAATGAGGTAGGCATGAGGTACTTTCAGCCAAGTTTGCTTAAGAGAAGAATGTGCGTGTCACCCGGTTACGATAACAATTACCTCGGGGCTTACTGTTGTATCAGAAAAAAATAGATGTTTCCTGTTCAAGAAAACAGGTGAGGGGCACCTGGGTGACTCAGTCAGCTAAGCGTCTGACTTCGGTTCAGATCATGATCTCGTGGTTTATGAGTTCGAGCCCTGCATGAGGCTTTCTGTTTCAGATCCTCTGCTTCCTGCTCTCTCTGCTTCTCTCTCTCTATTTCTCTCTCTCTCTACAAAATAAATAAACATTAAAAACATTTTAAGAAGAAAACAGGTGAATTAGAAGGAGATGTTCCCGTTTGACAATACAGTTCCCATAACAAGTTCTTGAACAACATTGGCAAATGAGTCAAGGCACAGGAAGTCAGGTGTCAGGGTAGAAAACATGGTTAAGTGTCTTCTCCTGCAGGTTTATTGTCCAGCTGACACCATGTGTGCTTGCAGGGGACTCCGAACCTGGGGGGAAGACACCTGGTGACCATTAGTCCAGTTCTGGGCTCTTGGCCCTTTCCCCTCCTTGGCTGTCTGCCACCTGTGTCCCAGACCAGCTGAGGCCAAGGTTCCCTGGGCAGTCATAACAGTGGCATGTACCCTACAGGATGGCCAGCAACACCCAGGGCAGCGCAAGCGAGGGGGAGAGCACTAACTTCACATTCAGCTTCAAGATGTTCACCAGCTGGGATTACCTGATTGGGAATTCAGAGACAGCCGACAACAAATATGCCTCCATCACCACCAGCTTCAAGGTACGTGCCCAGGGTAGTTCCCGCTTCCTGGGGGAACTTCGGGCCCCTCTGGTCAATAGGAGACTTCACCTACCTGGGGCATGGTAGATGAGGTCCCCCAAGGAATTTGTGGTAAGAGCCGTATTAGAAGTGTGTGCCCAGCTCTCAAGCCTTCCAGAAGGAATGCTCAAAACTGGTACCCACCATGTTTTTTTAATATGGCGGAGAATCATGGATGCTGGGACCTGGTCCTGCCTGTTTCCTCATGGAACTGTTTTCTGCCAGCGAAAAAGGAAGGACTCAATTGGGGCTGCAGTTCTCAACCTTTTATGCGTGTTGGAATCACCTCAGCTTTAAAAATCTTTTAGACCCAAACCCCCAGAGATGCTGGTGTAATTGGTCAGGGGCCGGGGAATTCCTGGCAATGGATTATTTAAAAGCTCTCCGAGTGATTAGAACACCCAGAAAGGGTAGAGAACCCTGGTTTGTGGGTGTGGGAGTCAATTAAATGTGCCACTCCATACTTAATAATTTCATTGATTTGTCACAAAAGATACGTGATTTGGCCTACACATCTCTGTTTATTTTATAAACGAGAAGCAAATGAACGGAGGCGGAAGCTGGTATGCCGACGCACTGTGCATCTTACGTTTTCCTCCATGACTATAAAAACCATTCAGAGTTCTTGACAGTTCAACATTTCTCCCATATGACCAGTCAGACTTTATTTCCTCACAGCCTGCCAAAGATTAGATTTACAACATAACTGTGCTTAGTTGTCTTGTCTTCTTCCCTCCCCCGCCCCCCCCCCCACCCCCGGCCCTTCCTGGCAGGAGAGGTGGGCTGCTGCCCGCTCACCAATAGCTACAGATGGCAGGTCCACCCACCAGGGGCAGAGAGTGGGCTCCGCTCCGCAGCTCCCTACGTGGGTTTCATGAGCCCACAGTCCTGACAGCTTGGCAGTGGGAAGCTCAGGGAGCTGACTGGGTTCCCCTCCCTTCTCCTTCTCCCAGCACTGAGGGCCCACTGACAGAGCATCCAAGGGCAGGGAAGGGATCAGTGAGGGCTTTGTCTCCTGAGAAAGACAAAGGTCAATGTCTATGAAGCACTTTAAACATCTGGGAAGGTGAAAGCTGCTTCTCTGAGTCTGTTAAAACCAGAGATAATACCCTTACATAACCGAGCACGTGTGCCAACAGCATGAGCTAAGATATATTAACTGCTTGATCAATTAGTTAAATCTGAACCTGAATATAGTAACTGTTGTTGATTGGAAACGGCTCCTTCCAGATACTTTGGAAACTGGGAGACCTTATTTACCACTGCCATCTTGTGTCCTCATAGAGAATTACTGAGGCAGGAGGCAAAGTTTATAATAAAAAATCTATTGTATTTTTGTTTACTAACAGCAAACAATTAGAAAACATTTTTAAATTCCATTTACAATAAAATTACATGAATTACATACAATTCTTAGGAATAGAGTTAACAACAACAAATGTACAAGATGGCTAAACCAAAACGTATGACATTTCTGAAAGAACTTAAGACACCCTAAATAAATAGAGATATATACCATGTTCATAGATTAGAACAGGGATCAGCCTACTATGGCCAGGGGCAAATCCAGCCTGCTGTAAATAAGATTTTATTAAAACAAAGCCATGCCTATTTATTTCCATATTGCCGAAGGTTGCTTTCATGCTGCTACAGCAAAGCTGAGTAGTTGTGAGAAAGACCACATAGTTTGCAGAGCCCAAATATATACTATATGACTCTTAGTAGAAAATGTTTGCTGGCTCCTGGATTGGAAGATGCAATATTCTTAGCATTTCATTTTAATCTATTTGATCTATAGTTTTAAAATATTCCAGTCAGACAGTTGCTGAACTCTTTCCAGGCCTTAGTATCTGTGTTATGGGTAATAATAGAAATTACTCCATTGGTTTGTTTTGGGGATTAGGAGGGATAATGCAAAGCAAGGGTTTAGCACTACATCTGGCATACAGTAAGTAGTCAATAAATGTAAGCTTTTGGTATCACATATCAAAATAGCAATAACAATAAGATATATCATCTTAAAGAAAATAATTCTCTATAGGGCAACGATGCCCTGCACCACCTCCTTTGTATTATTTCATTTATGAAAATATAGTAAGTAGTCATCTTACAACAACATCAACAACAATGGTTCCTGTTGGTTCCTGGCCTGTAATTATTCACATCTCATTTCCACACATCAAGGAATCAATAGTGGATGAACAAGAGAGTAACAAAGAAGAAAATATCCATCTGACAAGATTTCTCCGGGTCCTGGCCAACTTTCTCATCATCTGCTGTTTGTGTGGAAGTGGATACCTCATTTACTTTGTGGTGAAGCGATCCCAGGAATTCTCCAAAATGCAGAATGTCAGCTGGTATGAAAGAAATGAGGTAAAAAGGGCATCTCTGTGGAAGTGAATATTGAGAGCAAACACAGATATTATACTCGTTCCTATGCCATTTTGCTGAATTCATTGAAATTTTGGATTATAGGACATGTTTTAAAAAGTGAAGTTACATCCCTTTCTAGTCAAGTAGCATGATTGTTTAAACAAAGAGTCACCTCTTAATAGGCTTTTGTAGGTTGATAAAGCTGAATTATAATTAGCATGCCAGTCAACTGAATAGTCAGTTGTCTTAGCACCAATTATTAAAAAGGTGATCCTTTCTTCACAGCTCTACAGTGCCACACATCAAAAATCAATTATCTGTTAATATAATTATATATATGTTAATATAACTATATAATATAATAAATTTGTTAATTATCTACGGGTGTGGTTCTGGGCTCCCTGTTCGATTCCACTGTTTTATTTATCTGTTCCTACACTAAAAACACACTGATAAACTATGGCTTTATAGTATCTATTGATACCTGGTAGACTGAGTTCTCTCCCAACAAGAACCACAATAAAATGCATTCAAGTTTCATTGTGATTATATTGAATCCATAAATCTCTTTTGGCAATTTAACATCTTAGTAGCTAGCAGAAATGGCTGCAAAATCTTCCCCTTCTTGTATTCCCAAATTTCTTTGCAATATCATTTTCTAGCTCCTCTCATGAAGATGTAGAATCTGTTTCCCCCTCCCTTGAATCCAGCTAGGCTTGGCCATGTGAGCTCCTTTAGCCAATGAGATAGTAACACCCATGATATAGCAAACTTGAAAAGGACTTGGTATTGGAACTTGCTTTCTTGGAAACCCCGAGACCTCCATCATGTGAATAGTTCCAGGCTAGCCTGTTGATGAGAGACACAGGACCCATTTATCTCATCACTCTACATACTAGCCAGTCAGCCACCAGACTATGAATGAAGCCATCAACCATCAGTTGACCACAGATACACAAATGAATCCAGGTGAGGCCAGCAGAAGAACCACCTGCCTAAGCCCAGAGAACAAAATACCCACAGAATCATGAGCTACATAAATTAAATGATAAGAAAGAATCTATCTCCTCCCACAAAGCAAGAAAGGAAAAAAAAATAAATATGGAACTTATAGGACAAATGTAAAGCACAAAATCAGACAGATTTAAATCTAAGTCTACCATTGATTACAATAAATGTAAATGGATTAAAGCTACAGGTTTTTTTTCTTAAATAGTTTATTGTCAAGTTGGTTTCCATATAACACCCAGTGCTCATCCCCACAAGTGCCCTCCTCCATGCCCATCACTCCCCTTCCCCTCTCCCCCACCCCCATCAGCCCTCAATTTGTTCTCAGCATTCTAGAGTCTCTCAGGGTTTGCCTCCCTCCCTCTCCCCAACTATTTTTCCCCTTCTTTTCCCCCATGGTCCTCCGTTAAATTCCTCCTAATCCACCTATACGTGCAAACATATGGTATCTGTCCTTCTCCACCTGGCTTATCTCGCTTAGCATAACACCCTCAAGTTCCATCCATTTTGCTACACATGGCCAGATTTCATTCTTACTACATGGCAATGATAAAACTATAATTTAAAGGCAATAATAATCGGATTGAATTTTTTAAAAAACTATGTGCTATTTACAATGAACCCACCTAAAACATCAGGTCACTAAGCGATGAGGGGGATACAAAAGATGCTTGAGATGGATTCTGCCCATAAGTGGATTTTTAAGTTTCCTTAGGAAGCAGATTTGACAAGAATAAAGCAAAGTACAAACAGCAGGAGGCAGGAATAATGATCAAATAAGATGTTTTTGGTTACAGATGTGTGTCAGGTGGAGAAGCCTATATGAGCTGGAGAGACGGGGGCGGGGGGTTGTGGCAAAGGCAGAAATCAGGCTGTGCATTAAACAAACATGTGAAGAAGGGCAGTGAAGGATGTGGTACAATGATGGCTCTCCAGGTGGGAAGCGCTGCATGAGCAGGTGTGAGGGTATGAAGGTGATGAGAAGCCAAGCCAACAGTCAGTGTGACAGAATATGAGGGAGTCAGAACCAGTCCAGAAGGGTTGACCCACCTGCACCTTGGTCAGCAGTTCAAGGATTTACTTTCCACTACATGAGCAGTTTTAATTTCAGAAAGAATGTTCTACTGTGGTCAGATTCAGTTACACAAGTAGGATTCTCCCAAAATTGGAGCCAAAATTTAATGCTTACCAGGCTCTGGGCTAGTAGACTTACATCAATCATCTATTCTGACTCTCACAACAAGAACTGTCATTCCCACTTTATATGTGAAGAAACAAGGAGCTCAGAGAAATTATGTAACTTTTCCTAAGTTACAAAGCCAGCAAATGATAGAGTTGGGGCTCAACCCCAGAAAGCTGACTCCAAATGCCATACTCTTTTTTTAAAATGTGTAAATTTATTTATTTATTTTTGAGAGAGAGAGAGAGAGAGTGTGTGTGTGTGTGTGTGTGTGTGTGTGTGTGTGAAGGAATGAGGAAGGGTCAGGGAGAGAGGGAGAGAATCCCAAGCAGGCTCCATGCTGTCAGCACAGAGCCCAACAGAGGGTTCAATCTCATAAACCATGAGATCATGACCTAGGCTGAAATCAAGACTCAGGCCACTAACCGACTGAGCCACCCTGGCACCCCGAAATGTCATACTCTTAACCGCATCCCTCTGCTAGTAGTTCCTTTCTGTGATTTGAGCTTCCTGTCTTCCAGGCTCCTGAGATAAGAGCCATCACAGTGACTCTTGCTCAGCTTATGACTTACAGAACACAAGGCACTGTTCCATATGTTAATTCATTTATCTCTCAAAGAAAGTCTGTTATTTCTGTCAATACTAATGGCAACATCATGAGAGCAACCAGTAACAGAGCAGGTATGATGTGTGGGACATATGCTGACTGCTCAGGGCATGTTGGTGTCTTAGCCAAGGTCACACAGCAAGTTGCGGAGACCAGAGGGCATCCCCAGAGGCAGAGGAGGGGGCAAGGAGGAGACGGGGATGCATGGGCCTAGGGATTGCAGAGAAGGTGGCCAAGCAAGTGATATTGATGACACAAGTAATCCAGGCTTTCCTGACTTCTCAGGTAGAAATCGTGATGTCCCTGCTTGGTATGTTTTGTCCCCCTTTGTTTGAAACCATCGCTGCCCTGGAGAATTATCACCCACGCATTGGACTGAAGTGGCAGCTGGGGCGCATCTTTGCACTCTTCCTGGGGAACCTCTACACATTTCTCCTGGCCCTGATGGATGATGTTCACCTCAAGGTAAAGACCACAAACCCCCTCTAATCCCTGGTGCCCACCAAATTCCTTTTTCCACTACAATAATTTCCTTATGCATCATTCCCATTCGTTGAAGAAATTTTGGAAAGTTGTGAAAATGAAAATGAAGGAAAAAATATCCCCAGAACCCTATGACCCAAGAACAAGCATTGTTAATATTGTGCTGCAGGTCTTTACAGTTTTTTCTTTGGTTGTCTTTTTTACATCATATACATGTCATTTGGTCCCCTTAATATTTTACCTGTAGCCTCTCCTATGTTGTATCATAGCTGCCATAAATGTTTACTAGCCAAGTAAGTGTCCATTGAGGTGATATGGGATGATTGACCCAAACTTTCATCACTGCTCACCAGTCGGTTATGGAGCACCCGCTATATCAGGCCCTGAAGGTACAGCAGACAGCAAGACGGTGCTGTTCCAAGGGTATTCACATCTAGGCTGGTGGCCAGACTCATTCATTACATGCTGTGGCATGTGCTTCAGTGGGGGCAAGCCCAGGCAGGGTGGCAGTGCATAGGAGGGACTCCAGATCTCCCCTGCCCAACCTGGGGAGTCTTACAAGACACTGGAAAAAGCAGAGGGAACAGCTGCAGAGGGAACAGCCTGTGCAAACAAGGAACTGCAGGATGGCTAAGAATGGAATGGAATGAAGAAGGGGGAAATGAACCTAAGGGAAGGGTCAGATGATGATAGTCATCTTCCCCACCCCTTCCTCCTCATTATTGGGCTGCATGAACTTTTACCTGAGGTTATCAGAAAGCTATTGGAAGGTTCTAAGCATGCAGGTAACTGTGTCTGGCCCTTGCCTACCCCTCCACCTTCATCTCTGGCTTTCCTCCTACCCCCAATGAACTGTTCTATTCTCCTGAACCTCATATTTCCTCCACAGGACAAAATTTTCTCTTGCCTCACTCTCCACCTTTCCCCCCTTCTTTGACTAGTTGACTAATACTCCCTGAGATTTTGTGTCAGATGTCACTGCCTTCAGGAAGTTCCCTGTGGCCCCCATGGTCTGATGTGGACTTCCTTGATCCCCAGAGGATATTAACCATAGCTCTTGTCACTCTGTTCTATAATTTACTGTTCATCTCTGTCACCTACTAGACTGTGAACTTTCTGAGGAAAGCCTGTCTCTCTTGTGTCACTGCTGCCTTGCATGCCCAGAATAGACCCTGAAAAAAATTATTCTCAAAAGAAGAATGGATGGATGGATGGATGGATGGATGGATGGATGGATGGATGATAACTTAGAAAAGATAACTTCCTGGAAAAGACCCAAAGACTTCAGTCAAATGCCCCTCTCTCCTGTATAGACTGAAAGACTGCAGAGGGTATTTCTGTGAAGACTGCTGAGGGGTAGGTCAGAGGCTAGGTGGTACAGTGGTGGCATATTCTGGCTTTAATTGTTATTCCCATGGAAGCAGTTGGACCATCCCTGGCTCCTTCCAATCCACATCTCCATATTCCATTTTAGCTTTCTAATGAAGAGAAAATAAAGAACATCACTCACTGGACCCTGGTTAACTATTACAACTCTTCGGGTTGGAATGAGAGTGTCCCTCGGCCACCCCTGCACCCTGCAGATGTGCCCCGGGGCTCTTGCTGGGAGACAGCTGTGGGCATTGTGAGTAGTTATGCTTTCCTGCAGAAGTGATCCCTGTTCTCAGTTCTTTGTTATTCCTTCCTTGACGTTTCTATTTTTAATCCACCAAAATGCCAAGCCAGTATTTCTCAGGAAAGTTCCACCTTTTCTCTTTTCCATTTTTTCCCCCAGCATCCCAAGTATTTCTCTACACGCTGTCTTCATCAGTCTAATGCCACTTGTATTCATTTAGAGTTTTCCTGCAGATTTCATTGCAAGCCTGAGGTTCTCCACCTGGAAATAATGAACAAATACTCCTAAAAATTAGATGCAGGGTTAGTGTGTGTGTGCATCTGTGCATTTTTGTAAAGAGAATTCATGGTTTTCATCCATCTCAATAATTAACAACTACTATATCCCCTTGTCCACTGTCCGAATTGTTCCTGTAGCTGGCACACTGTGGACTTCAAAGGCTAATGTCTTTTGCCTTCCTGAGCAGAAACTTGAAGTATTTGCAGGTCACACAGGGATCACCTTCCCTCTCTTCCTCAGCTCTTGCACGGGATTTCTACCCCTGTACACCACCCCACTGAGATGCAGAGTTTATTACTTCTTCATGGGCTCCCTAAAGAACCCACTCACATGTAACATCAGACAGCAGTGTTTTTAACTGAGGATGTGAAGTACAATGAAGGAGGGCATGATATCACTCAGTCCATCGAACACTGCCTATAAATCCACCAGCAGATATTTCCCTGCTGCACAGCGTCCTTCCCATGGGGTCCTGGGGGCCTTTTCTCCCCTGCCTTCCTCCATGGAGAGCTCAGACTCACCATTTCTTGTCTCCTCCAGTCCAGATGCCCCCATACTCCTTAAATCCTCCTCATTTATGTACAGAGCAACCCAGCTTCCCTAGCTCTTGCATTTCTAAAGCCCTCACATGTGTAACAGAGAAAGAGTCTGCAAGTCAATAAAACCCACGCTCCTTAGAAGGCAGGAGAGAGTTCATTTTACCTACATGGTTCCTTTGGAATGTTCTGCAATAGAATTTCTCATTTCCTGTCTGAATGCCCATCACCATTCCAAACACTGATTAAAGCTTGTCTCTTTCTGAACCTGTAGCAATGATGAGTTTGAGCTGTTACATACTGCTCACCTGTATCCTCTACCACCTCCACCCCAGGCCCCAGAGCATCACCTTGCACAGACGTGGAGACCTGATACATGTTGATTTGTCTTTTACTTAGGGGCATTAACTTGAATTATTGTTGAGAAATAATACTGAAAACTCATCAGCCGTTCATCCAGCAAGCATTTGTTTATCATCTTGGAGGATACAAAAATGGATAAAACAGACCCCTAGGAACTCCAAGGCTGTTAGATGTCTTAAAGGTTGTGATAATGCCTGGTAGATCTTTTCCACTTTTTTAAATTAATAAATTATATTCACTCTATAAAGCAGAGGAAAGCTTTGCTTTTAGCTCTTCCATTATGTGCCTCATGTAAAACCTGCATGATTATCTCTGTATAACAAGCAAAACATCCAATTAGCAGGAGATAAAGAATGCTGGCTGTTGTCCCTAGGGCCAGTGGTCAGATTCAGTCTTAGCTGTGGGCAGCTACACTTCAGAGGAGGTGGGGGAAGCTAGGGGGGAGACTTCAGATCCTCTCTCTGTGCAGTAGTGCTGATAACTATATTAAGCTGGGCATTGCCAATGTGCCAGGCAATTTGCATGCATAATCACTGAGCTTCCCAATAACCTTGCAAGGTTGATATCGTTATCAGCTTCAAGAGGCTCCAAGATTATTCCAAAGCAATACAATTGGTAACTTGCAGAGCTAGGACCGAAAATAAACATTTTCCAAGTCTAGGGTCCTTTTTCTGCACTACCTCTCTGTCACCAAGAACCAGAAAGTCACAGAGAAGATTCAGGTAAGTGAGGAAGACTTTGCATGGCTGCAGTCAATTGGAAGACATAAGCAAGGTTTGACCTTGACCATGCCCTTTTCCTGTGTTCCCCCTTGCAGGAATTCATGAGGCTGACTGTGTCTGACATGCTAGTAACATACATCACCATCCTGCTGGGGGACTTCCTGCGAGCTTGTTTTGTCCGGTTCATGAACTACTGCTGGTGCTGGGACCTGGAGGCTGGGTTTGTAGGTCACCATTTCATGGACATTCTGCAGGAAGGCATCTCAACCGTCCTATTTGATATAGTCGGATGCATTCCTGGGAATTTATTTAGAGAATTGATGACAGTCTCTATTCTGTGAGGTGCTGAAGTACTCCACGTCTATTTCCTTTGAGTCATATTTGCCTTCTTAGAGGAAACGCCACTTTTCCCCCATGTAATTAACAATGCAACCTTCCTATCTGGGGAATGGGGGCATCTGGCCTTGGGAAGAGTAGATCACGTGGTTCAGTGCTGAGCGGACGGTAGTAGAGAAATGCCAAAGTGGCGTCACCTCTCATTAGGCAAGGCAAAGAACACTAGCCTTTGAAGCCCACACGGAGCAAGCAATGGGAATGAGAATGGAAGTGGATAAGGGGAAGGGTAGCTCCTCATTTTTGAGACTCTGAAATCTTGGGGTGGGAGAGGGCAGAGGTGGACATGACTATTTCAGAAAGTCCTGGAATACACCGAGAACACAGGTGGCATTGGTGCGGTCTTCCGGATTATGCTTTGAGAAACCTCTTTGGACTTGTTCCCTCCACCTGGAATGCTCCTCTTCCCCACCTACCTGGGAAACTGCTCATTCTACATGTGTGTCATTTCCCCTCTGGGTGGCCTTCTGTGACAGGGCAGAATCTTTGGCCTCATCCATCCTGTGCGTGTCTCTTTCACAACACATCACTCACTGACCCAGTAGTCACGGGTGTTGAGCGCAGGGGAGTACTTCCGCAACTGAGCTTCATCTCTTGTTTCCCTGTGTCGTCTTCATCCTGGCCTGCAGTAGGGTACCTGGCCTAGGTCAGGGCTCCAGTACAGGTTTCTGTCATAGTTTTTTTTTTCCTTTTAGTCACCAACCACAATTTTACGCAAGCCTATTCGACTTCTCCTCATAGCAAGGAAAACTTCATAATCTCGTCTGAGAACAAGAGTAAATGAACTTCATGCTCAAAGATAATGCCATCTCTATTTTTTTTTAATTTTTTAATCTTTGTTTTTGAGAGAGAGAGACAGAGTGTGAGTGGGGGAGGGGTAGAGAGAGAGAGAGAGAGACACAGAATCTGAAAGAGGCTCCTGACTCTGAGATGTCAGCACAGAGCCCGACACAGGGCTTGAACTCAGACTGTGAGATCTTGACCTGAGCTGAAGTTGAACACTTAACCGACTGAGCCACCCAGGTGCCCCTAGAATGCCATCTTTATTTTTTTTTAAGTGGGCTCCACACTGGGCATGGGTCTCACAACCCTGAGATCAATACCTGAGCTGAGATCAAGAGTCAGATGTTTAACCAACAGAGCCACCCAGCACCCGCAAGAATGCCATCTTTAATAGGACAATATGAGACTGCTAAGATATCATTGCCCTCAAATTAATTTACAAGTTCAACAAGATCCCCAAATACTATTAAAGTTCATTCTAAAAATAAACGTGGAAATAGCAAGAAAAATTGTAAGACTGCAAAATGAAATGGATTATACTTACCCATTATATTAAAACATATTATGAAGCTATAATAATTAAAACTGGTACTAGGGGATAGACAAAATGATCAATTTCTATTATGAATAGAAAAGAATAGAAAATCCATAAATACAATCTATAGGAAGTAATCTATGTGGAAATTTGGTTTAAGGTAAAGGCAGTCTTACAAACCCATGGGAAAGGAAAGATTATATAACAAAGGGAGGAGAAAACTGGTTAACCACTGGGGAAGAAACTATATTTCTCACCTACTTCACCACCTACATAAATTACAGGTATATCAAAGTTTTAAATGTTGAGAAATGAAAGCATAAATTTCTAAAAGAAAGCATACATAAAATTACAGTCTTGGGGTAAGGAAAAAAATTTCCAATGCTCCTTTTTATTTATTTTATTTGTTTATGAGAGAGAGAGTGTGGGTAGGGAGAGCAGAGAGAGAATTCCAAGCAGGCTGTGCTCTGTCAGTGCAGAGCCTGACATGGGGCTCAATCTCATGAACCATGAGATCATGACCTGAGCCAAAATCAAGAGTTGAACGTTCAACTGACTGAGCCACCCAGGCTCCCTGGGGTGAGGAAAATTTTTCTAGCCAGAACACAAAACCCAGCAGATGAGAAGTTTTCAAAAATATTTTAAAATGTTAAATTGCAAATGTATAAGACTTAACCCTCGTGTATTTGAAATATATATGTCTCCTCCTTTGATCCGTGCCTCACCTTCCTTTCTCTCTCTCTCCTGACTTCTTCCTCTTCCTCCTCCCTGTCACCCTTGACCTCTATTTCCAAAGGACAAGTGGGGAAGTCGGTTTAAGCATCCTGCATAAGGATGCCCAACTCCCTAGGTGCTCACGCACTTTGCCTTCTTTCAAATAGTTGACAGATCTCCAAAACTCTGAAAATCAGTCAGGCTGAAAATATGAATCTACTGAGCTCTTTCCTTTCCACGAACTGCTCTGAGACTCCAGGGAGGTGGAAAGAAGAAAAGAGAACTGAAGGAGTCGTTTAGTTATTTTGTTTGCTTGTTGGCTTTAAAAAAAATTTTTTTATAATGTTTATTTTTGAGAGAGGGAGAGACACACACACAGAGTGTGAGCGGGGAGGGGCAGAGAGTGAAGGAGACAGAATTGGAAGCAGGCTCCAGGCTCTGAGCTGTCAGCACAGAGCCCAACGTGGGGCCCGAACTCACAAACTGTGAGATCATGACCTGAGCCGAAGTCAGACGCTCAACCAGCCGAGCTACCCAAAGGCTCCCTGCTTGTTTGCTTTCAAGCTGTCGTTTTATTTGACTCCCCATTTAAGAATTTGCATTTGGTTATTTATTGGATTTATTCCTCGATTATAATTTCAAGGTAAATCTCTGATTAGAGCATGGATAAAACATTCTCTTAGGGGCCAGTGCCCTCCCAAGGCACTCTGGCCTGCAATCCCTAAAAGGTAAAAATTCTCACTTTTTTGTCGAAAAAGTCATTGGAAAAAATGTCAACTTTGAGAACTTCAAATCTTCTCTTGAAAGGTGGAAAATGTGTTAAAGAAACAGAGCCATAAACACAAGTGTCCTCTCTGGTCACCAGAGCAGGCTCTTGGGGACAGAGTGGCCCTGGCTTAGCCAGTTGGCTGGCGATGGGGGCTGGCTGATGGCTGACAGCTTCCTTTCTCTCTGTCTGCCTCCCCCTGCAGCCCTCCTATGCTGAGTTCGATATCAGTGGAAATGTACTCGGTTTGATCTTCAACCAAGGAATGATCTGGTAGGCTCTGCATTTTACCTGGGGACCACCTCACCGGGGGAGTCAGAAAACTAGGATCCCAGGCTTTGCTCCCAATTAGCTGGGGAGAAGCTGGACGAATCTTCGGGCCTCTCCGAACTGTCTCTTTTCGGGTGACAAGTAGAGGGAAGGATGAGATGAGAATGAGGACAGCGTCTGGCCAACGCACGTGTTACCATAGACGGGGTTGGGGGGGTAGGGGGAGTAGGAAGAAAGAGAGGGGAATGAGAAGGAGGAAGGAAAAAAAGAAGAAGTAGAGAGGGGAGGAGAAGACATGAAGAGAGGGAGGAGACAAGAGGGGAAAGGAAAGAAGGAGGGAAGGAGGGAGAAAATAAGGAGAGGAAGAGTGAAGGAGCCAAGGGGCTCCCTCCTTTGACACAGGAGTTAGAAGAAAAGGCTGCATAATTTCAGCCCAAGACTTTCAAGATGCCAAGGGCAAACTTTCTCAGTTTAAGGACTTCAGATACTTCTCTAGGAAGCATCTGCTGGTTTAGGGGGACCACGGAGAAACAGACAGGGGGCCACATCATTTGTTAGGTGCCTTGTGGTGAGACAGTGGTTAAAATCCTGGCCAGAGCCCAAGCCAGTAATGCTCAGAGCGTCTCCCTCTCCTGAGAAATGGGTAGCAATGATAAGTGTCCTGCCTAAGCGGGAGACTCCTGGCCCCAGGACCCGCAGGGAATGCAGCTGGACCTCATGCCCCTAACCCATTGATCCCATTTCCTCCTGTCTTCCTTCCCTGGCCTCTCCTGCTGTTGGGCCAACCAGGTGTGTGATTTCTGCCCTTCCAGGATGGGCTCCTTCTATGCCCCAGGACTGGTGGGCATCAATGTGCTGCGCCTGCTGACCTCCATGTACTTCCAGTGCTGGGCGGTGATGAGCAGCAACGTCCCCCACGAGCGCGTGTTCAAAGCCTCCCGATCCAACAACTTCTACATGGGCCTCCTGCTGCTGGTGCTCTTCCTCAGCCTCCTGCCCGTGGCCTACACCATCATGTCCCTCCCGCCCTCCTTTGACTGCGGGCCATTCAGGTGCACAGTCTTGGTTGCCGGGGAGCAGCTCCTCTCCCAAGGCAGCCTGCTCAGAGAGTGCAGGCTCAGAGGTCCAGGTCTGGCGGTCACACCAGCCCGCAAAGGGCCCTGGAGCTTTGGGCAAATGATCAGGGCTGTTCAAGAGTTTTCTGCAAGGATGGAAGTGTTCTGTGTCTGCGCGATCCAATATGGTAGCCGCCAGCCACACGTGACTGTTGAGCACTTGAAATGAGGACCGAGGAACTAAATTTCTATATTTCATTGTAATTCATTTTAATTTAAATAATGAGAAACATGGCTGAAGGCTACCATATTGGACAGCACAGCTCTGACCTTTTAACATATGGATAATCCACGACCCTGGATTACCTTACCGTAGGATGAGTAATGGGGGATATTCTGAAGACGAAATAACCATTGTTTACAAGTGCCATTCAAATGTGAAACAGAGAATGAGACTCTGGCCTGGATCCCTATGCTCTGCAGGGCATTTGCATGCTGTGAGCTCAGGGGATAAGTCGGATTCGTTTAGGAGACTGGGCATTGATAAAGACATAAATAATTATGCAAGGAGGTACATTGAGAAATCATATGCCTCTGTTGCTCTCTTTCCAAGTGTGAGGCCCCCTGGAAACAAAGCCATCTCTCTACTCCATAAAAGGAGTTCTGTGGCTCAAGCAGTTTGGAACACGCTGCCCCTGTCATCTGCCATCTTCTCATTTAGAAGTGCTGGAGGCACACTCTTTATTAAGCATTGGAAGAATCGTGCGATAAGATAACGTGCGTAAGCCAGTGCATCCATCCTTATTGACCACAGACTGTTTCTTCATGTAACACCCATCCAGGGCCAGGAGTAGGGTGAGGCCGGGAGGGCACAGACTCTGCCCTTGCACAACCCTAAAAGTAAGTAGCTCCTTTACTTGTGCAGCCCAGGGCCCCACCCACCTCACTCTGGTCCCAGCGCTACCTACCATTACAGATCAACACACTTCGGGAAAAGCCGACCTGGTACTTTTCAGCTTATAAGGGACTTAACTAGATAAAGCTCTGTGGTGGCTGCCCCACGGCAAGTGTCGTGGTGCTCAGACATGTGAGTGGAGCTCAGGACAGAGAGATCTGGCTGCACGGGGGTTCAGATGGAAGGAAAGGGGGGCTAGATCTAGAGTAGAAAAATGTGCTATAGAAGGCCTGGGATGCCAGGTTGAAGGGAGAACCACATGATAAAAGTGGTAGAAGCATCTTCTGACTTCTTCCTAAGCAAGGTTTGGAGGGCTGTCCTCTAGGTTACAAGCACTAGAGCCCCTTCGCTCAGGCTGCCTTCCTGCCCCCAGACAGGAGGCCCTTGAGTGGGCCTGGGCCACGCCTCCCCCTCACCGTCTGCCCCATCCTTGCTTCATCTGCTACCCTGAGAAGCCCTGACAGCCTGCATCCAGATAGCAAGGGAAGGAACCTGAAAACGGAACCCAGAAGGAAATATGGCTGCCGCCTCCTTCCTGTCACCCTTCTGATCAAAACTCATCAACAGCTGGAAGTTCGTCCCTCAGATATGTTCACAGCTGTTCGCTCTCTTGCTTTTGCTTTAGGTGTTTTCTCAAAGGTCACCTTCTCAGTGAGACCTTCCCTGGAGACTGTAACTAAAATGTCACACGCAGACACACACACCCTTATCATTGTTTCTGCTCAGTGCATCTCCTTATCAACACCTAGCATGCCATTCCTTTTGTCTACTTATAGTGTTTATTGTCTGTCTCCTTCCCCAGAACATAGGCTCCATGAGGGTGTGATTTTTGCTTCCTTTCTCACTGCTTTGTACCCAGTGTCTAGAAGAAAACACCTGGTTTATGGTCAATGTTCAAACTAGACCCTTCACGTCACAAAAGTTCACTTTTACTTAGGGTTTTTTTTTTTTACTTAGGGAGGGACTTAGGGTTTTAACCAGATCCAGGCAGGCAACATAAATGAATGAGATGGGCAGTATTGCAGAACCTGAAGTTTTTTGTAAATAAATTGTAATTGGACCACAGCCACACCCGTTTGCTTACATATAATCTACGGTTGCTTTCTCAATATAACAGCAAAATCGAGTCATTCCAACAGAGACCATCTGGCTCACAAAGCCAGAAATCGTTATTATCTAGCTCTTTTCAGGGAAAAAAAAAAAAATCACCAACCCCCCTGACTTAGAGCATAGACTCTCAAGCCAGCTCTGTCATTTGCCAGCTGGGTCATCTTGAGAAATTACTTAGCTGTCTACACCACAAGTTAATTGCCCATAAGATGGAAATAACGGACAAGTCTACCCCGGAGGGTTGTTTTGAGGATTTAGTGTATTCTTTGCCAAGTACTTAAAGATGTGTGCTAATCCATAGTACGGCGAACTTGCTAAGCCTGAGCCCAGGCCAAGCAGGGGGTAGCTGGGGCTCAACAATGCTGTGAGGTGGGAAGTATTATCTCCACACATAAGGGCTTAGCTAACTTTTTCTGTAAAGAGCCCGAGAGCAAATATTTTAGGCTTTGGGAATCAAGAGGAAGAATCAAGAATATTATGCAAGTACTTATATAACAAGAGAAAGTTCTTATTGACAAAATTCAAGATATGAGAACAACAGAGTAATTTTTCATAATATAGGTCTACCAATGAAAAGAAGGGAGTTCTTTTATGGGGGGGGACGTGATAATATTTCACATAATACAGGCTCAAAGTTACTGTTCCCTGTCCTCAAACATCAATTTCACTGCTCAGATTGCCACCTTTGCTGCCTAGGTCCATCACTGTACCACACATGACAACACATCTCCTACCATAGGAGAGCAGTTGCCATGAAGTTTTACTGCGGCTAAGCCATCGAGCTGCTGTGCAGTAGGGCAAGTCAGAACAGTCAGCTTCTATTTCTTTTTTTTTTTTAAGTTGTGTCTATTTAAGTAATCTCTACACTTCATGTGGGGCTCAAACTCACAACCCTGAGATCAAGAGTCACACGCTCCTCCAACTGAGCAAGCCAGACGCCCCTTGGCTTCTATCTCTGACAAAAATGTATGTGAAGGAAAATGATTAAGTTATAAGAGCAAAAGAAGTTCACCATTGACACTATTGATTGCAACTGTGCGTGTTAGATTCATATATTTTCTGCAAATTACCTGCAGTTGAATAAGAGAATGAATAATCGTCTGCACATGCCTAAAATTCACAAGCTTTGTAAATTTGTCCATGTAAGCCGTCTTCTGCTCTACACGTATTTCAACCATTATCAACGATAGCACATCATAACAGATCCATTTCATTTCACTTGCACTGCATTCCATTCCACTCAATAGAATGGATACATTCTCAATGGAATTTGGTACTAGTGTGCTGAATTAGTGTTTTCTCAATTTCTTTGAGAAATTTTCACCCATATTTGTTCCACACAGTATAGTCACAGATACCAATTCTTCAGTCACTTCAAACTTGGCATTAACTCCTCAAATGAACAACTGAGTAGCATCAGTAACATCTACTGACCCGTCAAGAGCCAAAGAAAAGCACTTGAAGTCATTTGCCATCCTTTGAATACAACATTGCTCTCAGACGTCCTCAACTCTTCAAGCAGCTGCTTTTGCCGGAAGTTCTGAAAGTCTCAAGAAAGTTTCTTTTCTCCGGATACATTTCTTCAGCTCCTGCAATCAAACGCAATTTAATTACTTCACCACTGGCCAGTGAGGAACGTAATTTTGGAAAGTGGAGGAAAGGGATGGGGGGTCCTTGCTATATAGAGAACAGAAAGCTTGACCAAATTATGTCTGACAGGTGTATGGAGATCTGAGTTTATAAATGATGAACTTGCATGTTTGGCTAAGGAGATTTCTAAGCAAAGTGTTGAAGATGTAGCCTGGTTTCTTCTTGCTTTATACTAAAATGTGAGAGGAAAGAGATAAGTTGAGAAAAGGACTAAATAGCAAAAAAGAACCAGAACTTGATGCTTTGGGAAAACCTATCCAGGTTGAAAAAGACCCTAAAATCAGATTCATGGTCAGGAAAGCATGCTCTAAAGAGAAAGCCAAGAGGCAACCTGGGCAACTTTCTGCTAGTGCTTCTGAAGGATCAAAAAACCTGAATATTCATTCATGCAGAGGATTTTTTTAAACCTGTGACTGGGATCCTCTCAACCATCTCAGCAGAAGCCAAAAATAGACATAGAATTCTCCAGGAAAGATCTGTGTACGACCCTCTTGTCTAATGGACTGAATTCCCATGACCTACATGGAAGACACACCAGGTACTTAAGAATGTTATATAAACCAGCTTTAACTGTTGTCTTATGGCTGACCGACCAGGGTATTTAGGGAGTAAATAAATTGTTTTCTGGTTTCCCAGGTCCACAGATAGAGAAAAATTTTGTTCCAAGATGGAGCATAGCCAGAGTCTCGTCTATACCTGATTTAGATGATGAGATTTGGGACTTTTGAGCTGATAATGTTTAGATGAGATTTTGGACTTTGGCTCAATGCTGTAAATGGATTGCAACTTTGGGGGATGTAGGGATGGCAATGAATGTATTTTGCCGGTGGGACGAATGTGAATCTTCAGGGACCGAAGAGGATACAGTGATGGGCTGAATAATGGCTCCCAAAAACATTTATGTCCTAATCCCTGCAACTTGTGGGTGTTAGCTTATTCAGCAAAAGGAGCTTTGCCAATGTGATTAAGTTAAGAATCTTGATACGGAGACATTATCCTAGATTACCCAAGTGAGTCCTAAATCACGAGTGTCCTTATAAGAAGGAAGCAGAGGGAGATTTGACCACAGAAAAACAGAAAGTGAGGCAACCATAGGAGCAGAGAAAGATTTGAAGATTCTATGCCACCAGCCTTGAAGATGGAGGAAAGGGCCAAGAGTCAAAGAATGCAAGGAATAAAGCTCTAGATGTTTAAAAAAAAAAAAAGGCAAGGAAATAGATTCTCCCCTAGAACCTCCCTCTGAAGGGAGCGCAGACACGCCCAACACCTTGGTTTCAACCCACTGAAACACATCAGACTTCTGGCCTCCAGAATGATAAGAGAACAAATCTGTATTATTTGAAGTCACCCATGTGGGAATCTGGGAGAGCACATACTGGAAATGAATACATCATCCAATACATCACGATTCAAGGACAAAATAACCCATACTTGACCGTGACTTAAAAGTGTAACGCGTGAAATTCGCCTTTCTTGTTTTTACACGATGGGTAAGTGCTGATAATAATAAAAAATTAGTTAACTGTCATAATATGGTGATACGCATGGCACTTGAAATGCTGTTGTTATAACTGCACCAAGACAATTCATTGTTTGCTGTGCGACAACGCTAAGCATTGAGATGGTGACAAACGGTCTCTGACCCAACTGTTCATTGTCTGTCATCATAGCACAAAACAACCCTAGACCGTATATAAAGAAGTGAGCGTGGCTGTGTCCCAATAACATTTTACTTACCGACACTGAAGTATGAATTTCCTACTTCAATTTCTATAGATCACAAAATATTCTTCTTTTTTTCCCGACCATCTGAGTACATAAAAACTGCTCTTCATTTTCAGACCATATGAAAATAAATAACAAGCCAAATCTGGCCCATGGACCGTTATTTGCCAATCCTTGATCAATCCTTTCCAGAAGAGAAAAAGGAAGCTTCTGGCTGCAACATTTTGGAGGACACTTATAGTTTGATGGTCCCATACACAATGTTGTACATAAATTCATATTTATGTCCTCTAAACAACCTTCTGGGACAAGTACTATTATTATACTTATAATCCCATAACATGCTATATTATTATTATTATTATACTATATTATACGGGTGAGGAAACTGGGGCAGAGAAATTTTCAGCATCTTGGCCAAAGATACTTTGGCTGTCAATTTGAGTCAGAGAAATTTTCAGCATCTTGGCCAAAGATACTTTGGCTGTCAATTTGAGTCAGTTGCATTCTTGGGTAGAACGGATTCTGCAGGCAGGTGGAAGGGAAACTCCAGGCACAGAGGTGAAGGCACAGCTCTGTCCAATAGAATTTTCTACGCAAGGAAAAAAATTCCATATCTCCTAGTCAATATAGTAGCTTCAAGTCACACGACTACTGAGTTGTGATTAAAACACTGAATTCTTAGTTTCACTTAATTTCTATTTTATTTTCAATAGCTACACTGGACAGCTCTAATGGGGAGAGAGAGGAAACAGATAGACACAGGAAGAAAGAGAATAAGTAAATTATGCACGGTGTCCTGCAGCTAATAAGCGAAGGAGCAAGGACTTGAACCAGAAATTTCAAACCCTAAAGTCCATTTTCTTGGCACTGAACTGACCAACCAAAGCCAGCAGTGGGCCATAATCTCTGGGCAGGCGTTTGCAGAAGTCAAGTCTGTATAAAGGTTCTTAGGGATTTGAAGAAAATCAAAATTACTGCTGCGACCTGTCCAGGAGCCCGTCCCAGGTGGTCCGTTCTCCTGAAACTATAATCTGAAGACTGACTGTAGGTGTTTTTGAGAGGCATCATGAGGTTGTCTATCACACAAGCCTCTGGAGGGCTGTTTCCATGCCAGGGGACCCAGAGGGAGGTCCATGTTGGTCTCACAGCTACGTTGCAGGCAGTTTTCTCCCATGAGAGTATCATAGAAAACCCACTTTCATCTTGCGCAGGAAGGTGTCAGACACAGGAGACCGATGTGGTCTGAGAAGTTCTGAGGTACCAAGGACATGAAGCTGGCGAACCAGGGCTCTGCTCCAGCCCTACGCCGTAGCCGAAGGGCAACCCCTCCCTCAGGGGCCATTTTTCACCTGCAACCCATTTGGAGCAGAGCTCTGGTTCTTCCCGGGAAAGCAGGGGTGAGTGGCAGCTTTGGGGCCACAGGGGCAGGGGCACGGTTGTGTGTGCCACGTGAGCTTCGTGATGCCATAACACATTCTCTTTACAGCGGGAAGAACAGAATGTATGACGTCATCCAAGAGACGATTGAAAATGATTTCCCAACCTTCCTGGGCAAGATCTTTGCTTTCCTCGCCAACCCTGGCCTGATCATCCCAGCCATCCTGCTGATGTTGTAAGTAACCCAGGGCCCACGGCTCTGCCCCAAGGCAGCCTCCCCTTGCCCTTGAGATTGCCCTAGCAGGCCCTCCTTTCCTTTCCTCTTACTTAATCTACACTTCCCAGAAGCAGATCCTGAGATGAAGATTCAAATGCAAATAGTTAATTGGTAAGGGTGGAAGATCATTACCACTGGGATGATTTTGATTGTGTGTGGATGGGGGGGTGGCGGGTGGGGACTCTGGAGAACTGTGTGTCTGAGTTATCCTGCTCAAGGGTGAGGGATGGAGCCTTTGTAGACCAGCACCCATCAGTCACTAGTTGGGTGAGATCAAAAGGGAGAGTGGTTGTTTCCCCGGCCATTTGAGTCAGCTGCATTCTTGGGTGGAATGGATTCTGCAGGGGGATGGAAGGGCAACTCCAGGCACAGAGGTGAAGGAACTGGCAGTTATTAAGTCTTTCGGGGAGCACGCTGAAAGACAGGGTCCAAGAAATACAGATGGGCACTGCCAGTATCTGCCACACCCTCCTAAACGTTCACTAGAAATATCAAAGACCTCTGGGCTCTGGGTCTCCCAGAAAGCGGAGGGGCTGATTCTGCCTGTCCCTGGCTGGGCTCGGAGGACTTCTCCACAGAGCACGCTGTGCACCTGACCTTGGATCTCACCACCATCCCTTCTCAAAGACTAAGAAAGCTGTGAGGATAGTGGGTAGGTTTGATGACCTCTGCATTCCCAACACCAGCCCCATGCCTAGGGCCTAGGAGGGAAACGACAAATGTTCAAGGAAGAAACGAGAGAAGAAAAAAAGAAGGTGGAAAGCAAGAGTCCTGAATTTGAATTACTGTCATCAAAAACGTACTAGTGAAAACATGAGGGCGTTCTTCTTCCTTTTTAAAAAAATTTTTTTAATATTTGATTTATTTCTGAGAGAGAGAGAGACAGCATGAGCAGGGGAGGGTCAGAGAGAGAGGGAGTCACAGACTGAAACAGGCTCCAGGCTCTGAGCTAACTGTCAGCACAGAGCCCAACATGGGGCTCGAACCCACGAATTGTGAGATCATGACCTGAGCTAAAGTCGGACGCTTAACCGACTGAGCCACCCAGACACCCCAAGGGCATTTTTCTTCCTAAAAATCTTGTTTGGCGTGCTCTTTTCTAAATTGTGAAATATTCCTGGGGCACCTGGGCAGCTCAGTCAGTTAAGCATCAGACTTTGGCTCAATTTGTGGGTTTGAGCCCTGCGTTGAGCTCTGTGCTGACAGCTCAAAGGAGCCTGGGGCTTGCTTCAGATTCTGTGTCTCCCTCCCTCTCCGCCCCTCCCCTGATCACACTCTGTCTCTCTCTCTGTCTCTCTCTCTCAAAAATAAATAAACATTAAAAAAATATATAAATTGTGAAATATTCCTCATATATATAAAAGTAGAGACAGCTATGAACACAATCTCAAGAGTGAACAAATGTTAGTATTTTGCACTGTTCCTTCAGATTTGTCTCTTTACAAGAAATAAAATGTTACAGATAACACTTCAAGTCCCAGGGACTCCTGCTCTCTCCCTCTCTCTCTCCCAAAGTAACCGCTCTTGTAACCATTGGCACGCATAGTTGGTATTTTCATCACGTTGGTGTGTCCCATTGTTTTCTGGGCTTTAAATTTTTTCATGAATGGTTCACACTACATAGCTTTCCTCGCTCAACATTATGTTTGGGGAATTTATTCACGTATTACACGAGCACACATTTTAATGGCTCTACTCTGCGTGACCGTGTGATTATACCACAGTTTATCCACCCTTCTGTCTGGAGGTGGTTAGATTGTTTCCACTGTTTTTCTACTACAAATGTGGTCCTTGGGCAAATGTGAGGGATTCTCTGGGACAGACCTCTGGAAGTGGAAGTAGGGAGTCGTGAGTATGAGTTTCTCCTTTCCTTTCCTTTCCTTTCCTTTCCTTTCCTTTCCTTTCCTTTCCTTTCCTTTCCTTTCCTTTCCTTTCCTTTCCTTTCCTTTTTCTTTGTTTCTTTCTTTGCTTCTTTCTTTCTTTGCTTCTTTCTTTCTTTCTTTCTTTCTTTCTTTCTTTCTTTCTTTCTTTCTTTCTTTCTTTCAGAGAGAGAGAGAGAGAACACAGTGAGAGTGGGGTAGAGAGAAAGGAGACACAGAATCCGAAGCAGGCTCCAGGCTCTGAGCCATCAGCACAGAGCCCGATGCAGGGCTCCAACCCACAAACCACGAGATCATGACCTGAGCCGAAGTCGGACACTTAGCCAACTGAGCCACCCAGGTGCCCCTTTCCAGTCCTTTTGGATAGTGCTGAATTGCTCCCCCAGATAGTTGTATTCCCTCACATCCTTGATTGGAACATCTCCTGCCTCTCGTCCTGGCCTGAGAGAGGACTGGCATGATGGTGACAACCCAGCCTAGGCCTTGACTGCCTGAGGAAATTCTGGAACCCACACACCAAGCCTGACCCTTGCAGGCAGCAACGGGAAATGCTAAATTCGGGAACGGAGGGACACAGCCACCCATGAGGATTTCATTCTCTCTGACCTCCAATTCCTCCCTAATAAACGGGATGTTAACTAGGAGAGAGAATGAGGCCTGGCACAGAGCAGGGACCTTGCAAAGCAGATTCCGCTCCCTCTGACCGTCCCCCCTTCTCTCCCCTGAGCCTCTGCTGCGGGAGGCTCCCATGACAGCCTGGGGCCCACACTGTGCGCCAAGACGAGGTGATTCCCCCCTCTTACTGGAGAGAGCTGGCAGACTGAAGTTGCCATGAGCGGCCCCACCCTGAGGGGAAAGCTTAGAAGGCCCCGGTTGGAGCAGCTAAGGAATTGAAATCCATGAAGAAAAGTGACAAATAAGGATGCACAGCAAAAGCTCCCAAGTGACAGGCCAGCTCAGCACCCAATCTAGGCGGCACCTTGGCTTTGTGGCCCCTCCCCTCACAGGTGGTGTACACAGGTTCTAACCCCTGATCTTCCATCCTGTGAAAGGGAAGCCCAGGCTCTGACCTCAAAGGACACCTCAGCAGTCAGTGGGCTTTGGACTCAGAAAACCATCACCTCAAGGCAGTGCTCCCTAAACAGGACCCTCTGGGACTTTGGCAGCTGCGTTTCCAAGCAAACTCGAAACGGGCACCTAGCACCCAGACTCTCCTGTCTTAGCCCATGATGACTGTGGAAAGAGCTTTGGCTTAAATGCGGGCTCCAACAAGAACTGATAGATGGGGTGGCCATGGGCAAACTGCTTAACCCCTCTGCCATTGCAGGATGCTGATCTGGAAAGATGGGAGCCATCCTTTCTACATCATGGGGTTTTTGTGAAAACCACTGAGACGTGGAGTGGGATGCCCGGGGCGCAGAGCCTGACACAGGGCGGGTACCCAGGAAGCACAGTCAGGAAACCTTGTCCCTCCCCCACCTCTTCAGATTTCCAAGGAAACCATTACTGAGCCCTCGGAGAGCTAAAAATGTGTATGTCATCTCCACACTCAATAAAACAGAAGGTAGGGGTGTCCAGAACCTTCTCAGCACTAAGGGGAGATAGGATAGTCGGAGATCTATCTCTCCACCCTATCCCAGAGGCAACCTACTCCAGGAAGCCTGCCTTGATTCCTCTGGAAGGGGTCCAGCTCTTGTCACTTTCCAAGACTGCAGTATCACAGGAGGCTCACTTTTCTCTCACAGCCTGGCCATCTACTACCTGAACTCGGTTTCCAAAAGCCTTTCCCGCGCGAATGCCCAGCTGAGAAAGAAAATCCAAGCGGTGAGTCTGTCGGGATTCTTCATTCAAACAGACATCCAGTGTTTGTTTTATGCTAATTTGCTCTGTGAGCCCGGTTCCACTATCCCCGTGGCTTTCTTCTAAACTAAATCCCAAGCTCCCTGTACTCCAAGCTGTGTAAGATTGAACAACACGCATTTATGTTCTGAGGATATTTGGGGGGGGCCACACGATAATAACACCTTCAATGTGCAGAGGTTGCTCAAGAATGGGAGAAATTCAATAAAACCAGTAAAAAAAAATTTTTTTTTTAATTTTTATCTATTTCTAGGAGACAGAGAGAGAGACAGCGTGAGCAGGGGAGGGTCAGAGAGAGAGGGAGTCACAGACTGAAACAGGCTCTAGGCTCTGAGCTGGCAGTCAGCACAGAGCCCGATGCGGGGCCTGAACCCACGAACCGTGAGATCATGACCTAAGCGAAAGTCGGACCTCAACCAACTAAGCCCCCCAGGCACCCCAAAACCAGTAAAAAATTTTCAGTAAAACCAGTACCCATACTAATACCTACAGTTTAAAATGAATACTGTAAATACTAGAGAAACACACTGTCAAAAAGACGTAGTGCTCGTGCCCTTAAGCCCCTCGCCGCTCTCTCCCTCTCTCTCTCCACCAGCTGACTTCTGACTGCTCTTTTCCACTCCTCCAGCCCCCAAGCCCCTTCCACACATGGTAAAGGGCAGACCCCAACCCTCTCTAAGCCCTGCCCTCCTGCCTCCTTGCTCCCTCTTCTGGAACGAATCTCATTGGCCTCATTGGCCTAACAGCCCCTTCCCCAGCTGCATCTCCCTCTGTTAATTTCACCATCTTCTGGTCCAGATCCAGAAAGCCTGGAAATGGAGGATTGGCAGGGTTTCTGTCTTCCCCTGGCCCAGTGTTCCTTCAAATACTGTGCAAACCAGAGCCTTGGGCTGTCCTTTCCATCCCCAGGGGTGAAGCCTGACAGCTGGCAATTTCAGGTAGTTACCAAGAACTGGGGACAGAGTCCTTATCTGCCTGGATCTCACCATCCTGGGCTCTGAGTCTCAAACACGCATTTCCCTGAGAACGAATCATTTCTCCTGCAGCTCCGGGAAGTTGAGAAGAGCCACAAATCTGTCAAAGGCAGAACCACAGCCAGAGATTCAGAGGACACAGCGAAAGGCAACTCCAAAAATGCCACCCAGCTCCAACTCAACAAAGAAGGTAAATTCTAGGGGCGAGTGGGAGGCTCAGTCGGTTGAGCATCTGACTCTTGATTTTGGCTCAGGTCATGATCCAGGGTCGGGCGATCAAGCCCCCCACATCAGGCTCTGCGCTGAGCATGGGCTCTGCTTGGGAATCTCTCTCTTTCTCTCTCTCTCTCTCTCTCTCCCTCCCTCTCCTCTCTCCCTCTGCCCCTCTACCCTGCTGGTGCTCTCTCTCTCTCTCTCTGCCACTCTACCCTGATTGCTCTCTCTCTCTCTTTCTCTCTCTAAAATAAAAATTTTAAGAGAAGGTTATAAATTCTATTTCCTGATGGATACCTTTTACAAGGCCACCTCAAAAGGTGTAAAGAGCATATGCTGAGAAATCAGATGCAGCTGGGATGAACTCAGAATTCTGACAACTATTAATTGTATGACGTTGGGCACATTAAGATAAGAATCCATTGAAAGGCCTAGCTCAGGGGGTGGGGATAATGAGATGGGATTAGGCAGGTGGAGGGCTTCCAAGTCCTGAGGTCCTGGGAGGCGCATCTGTGAAACGGGGAAGTGCCACAGCCTCTCTTGCAGGGCACCCCCCCCACCTGCACCCCCAAAGTTTCTCACTGCATTTTCTTTTTTTTTTTTTAATGTTTTATTTATTTCTGAGAGAGAGAGAGAGACAGCATGAGCAGGGGAGGGTCAGAGAGGGAGACACAGAATCTGAAACAGGCTCCAGGCTCTGAACTAGCTGTCAGCCCAGAGCCCGACGCAGGGCTCGAACCCACGAACTGTGAGATCATGACCTGAGCTGAAGTCGGAGGCTTAATCGACTGAGCCACCCAGGCGCCCCCTCACTGCATTTTCTACAGTGTCTCTTGACATTCCCCACAATTTAGCCTTCTTTTCTGAAATGATTTTGTCTTCTTCACTTTCTCTCCTGAATCTGATGGTTCCTATGTTTATATCCTGTTTATATCCTGTTTATATCTTGTTTAGCCCAATATAGGAGCCCTACTGGTGTCCCACCCAGATTCCTCTACGACACTCTTGAGTGTTGGCCAATGTGGGTCACAGCCACCAGGGGATGGAGGAGGTCTTCATTTTCTGTGCTGTTTAGAATGTATTCGTTAGGGGGCACCTGGGTGTCTCAGTCGGTTAAGCGTCCAACTTCGGCTCAGGTCACGATCTTACGGTTTGTGGGTTCGAGCCCCCCATCAGGCCCTGAGCCTGCCTCGGATTATGTGTCTCTCTCTCTCTCTGCCCCTCCCCACTCGCACTCTGTCTCTCTCACTCTCAAAAATAAACATTAAAAAAAATTTTAATGTATTTGTTAGGAGGAGATACAGAGGAGAAACATTAGCAGCTACTGCTCCTACCAGAACCAGTTTGTATTCTCCTAAAACAAACACTGGGACGCCTGGGTGGCTCAGTGTGTTGAGCATCTGGCTCTTGGTTTCCACTCAGGTCATGAACCCAGGGTCATGGGATAGAGCCCTGCATTGGACTCCACGCTGAGTGTGGAGCCTGCTTAAGATTCTCTCTCTCTCTCTCTCTCTCTCTCTCCCCGCCCCCCCCCCAGCCCCTCCCTGGCTCGTGCTCTGTCTCTTCTTAAATTAAAAAAAAAAAAAATGTTAAAAAAAAAAAGAGAGAAACACTGGAATATCAAGAATAAAAGGAAAAATGGTCACATATCTTCCGAAGAAAGTGTCACAGGGCTTCAAAAGGGAGTGATCACGGACCATCTGCCCCTGGAGAGAGGAAAGGTCAATTGAAAGAGGTCATCTCTGGGGCCCCCGGGTGGTTCAGTTTCGACTTCATCTCAGATCATGATCTCACGGTTCTTGAGTTCGAGCCCTGCATCGGGCTCTGTACTGACAAGCTCAGAGCCTGGAGCCTGCTTTGAATTGTGTGTGTGTGTGTCTCTCTCTCTCTCTCTCTCTGCCCCTCCCCCACTCACCCTCTGTCTCTCAAAAATAAATAAATGTTTAAAAAATTCTTTTAAAGAAAGAGACCATCTCTGAGGTGACCCCATGTCCCAAAGGCTGTCCCTATTGTAAAATTAAACCACGGCAGTGTGCTGTAATTTTGGCCTCTGATGCCAGACGTGAACAAGATTCACAAGAAATCGCCGATAGTTCAGGAGTTAGAATGATTAGCACAGAAAACTGTCTACCATTTATTTGATGTCTTTAGGACATGGCAAGATCACAAGAAGCAGAAACAAAGAATTTACCCACACAGCAGCCTTTCCCTGCAAGATGAAAATACTGTCAGTTTCTTTTCAATTCTTGAGGTCCAGTGGTGACGGAAGTGAAAGCAGGTCAAGAAGAACCAGCGACAGGGGCACCTGGGTGGCTCAGTCGGGAAAGCATCCGACTTCAGCTCAGGTCATGATCTCACAGTTCGTGGTTCAAGTCCCACATCAGGCTCTGTGCTGACAGCTCGGAGCCTGGAGCCTGCTTCAGATTCTGTATCTCCCTCTCTCTCTGACCCTCCCCTGCTCACGCTGTCTCTCTCTCAGAAATAAATTAAAAAACATTTAAAAAAAAAAAAAAAAAGAACCAGCGACAGATGCCAGCTGCATCCCGGGCAAACACCGTGTTGGTTTGGGAAACTGGGAACTATTCTAGGAACGGGGTGCAACATATGGAAGACATTTCAAAGCTACAGACATTCGTGTTGGTCGGATCGGCTGGCCGTCCGTTGGCGCCCTCAAAGTCTGGTTCAGGGATGAAACACAGGAGAGTGACTGGCTGGCAGCTTCTCATAAAGCTGAACAAAATATTTGAAATCTTCTAATTTCCCCCCATGGGACAGGAGATGGAGTCAATGTGATGTTATGTTGTAATATTGTTATACCCATACCCAGATCGCAGTATCCTCACCGACCAGAGACCACCGGGGAGACCGAGTCACACATGCAAAGGCAAAGGGCTTTATTACGGGCTCGGGCTCCCAGACCTCACCAGCACAGTGGATCCGTGCTGAGAGCCTCGAACAAAGACAGAGTAGGGTTTTTATGGGGTTTGTGACGGGGGAGTTACAGAAGTTGTGGCAGGGGAACAGTGATCCAATCATAATTATACAATATCATTGACAGCGGGTTAAACCATACACATTGTCTAGAGTATTTGTTACTTTTGGCGAGACCCAATTACAACATTTAGAGTACTTTTAAATTCAACCAATTACAGAGCGAGCCTAGGGTCTTGTTCGGCGCCTAACCGGTTAACTTTTACATTAGGCAGTTGAGATTTATCTATAGTTGCTGGCCTTTCTTGATTGGATGTTGCCAAGGTAGTGTGGTGGAGTGAAGTGGTGGGCAGTTTCTTCGGCCTCGGGCAGTGTGTAGCTGCCTGATAGTTTCAGGGAAACTGAAACTTAGGCCTTCTGGTTTAGAGGGGAAACTTAAAGCCCATTATGGAGTCAGTCTGGTTTAGACTTGTGTCCTTACAATATCACCAGCAAAAATGAGACCAAAACAAAAATGGAATGGACATATTTGGACACCAATGGACTTAAGCGTGGAAGGAAAAAAAATAGGCCAACAAAATGTTTTCTATGAGAAACCAAGGAACGTTTGACAGTGGTAGTGTCCTGTTCCCCAGCCCCCATGCGCCTGCCCCCCTTACCCACCCCTTCCTCGCCTGCTCCACCGGCTACTGCTTTCAAGTCTGCCTTTCTCCAAATTTGAGTTTTCAGGGCCCCCTGGGGGCTCAGTTGGTTAAGTGTCTGACTTTAGCTCCGGTCACGATCTCAGGGTTTGTGAGTTCGAGCCCCATGTCAGGCTCTCTGTTGTCTGAGCAGAGCCTGCTTTTGGATCCTTTGTCCCCCTCTCCCTCTCCTTTGTCCCCCTGTCCTCCGCCCTCTCTCCCTCCCTCTCCCCCTCCCCCTCTCCCCTTTCCCTCCCTCCTTCCCTAACCCCCAACCAGCTGCCAGCTGTGCTCTCTCTCTCTGTGTCAAAACCAAATGTTTTATTACAGATCTAAAGCTCTTTGAATTTTGTACTGATTAAGTCAGTACAACAGTGTTTGATGTTTAAAAAGTTAGTATGATCTAGAACACATCCGCGGGAGTAGGCTGTGGGGGAGAGTCTAGGAAGATGGCCAGCATTTCATCTGAAAAACTCATGGCCTCCGTTGCTGCCCTCCCTTAGCTTCTCTTCTGGAAGTACTTGCTAGAATGATACCAGTTACTGTAACAAACGGGCCCAGCCAAGTAATGACTCAAACACCATAAAGATTTACTTCTTGCGCAACATAAAGTCCAAATTGGTGTTTCTTTTAAATTTTTTTAAATGTTTATTTATTTTTGAGAGAGACAGAGCATGAGCAGGGGAAGAGCAGAGAGAGAGGGAGACACAGAATCTAAAACAGGCACCAGGATCTGAGCTGTCAGCACAGAGCCTGATGCAGGGCTCGAACTCACGAACCGTGAGATCATGACCTGAGCTGAAGTCGGACGCTTAACCGACTGAGCCGCCCAGGTGCCCCGCAAATCGGGTGTTTCGCTTGATGGCCACTTTCTTCCCAAGTGACACCGAAGGGACGCTGGCTCCTTCCGTCCCCTGACCCCACCCGCATCAGGCTGGTGCAGGGGCAAGAGCCCAGAGGACACCTGGAAGTGGGGCTGGCCAAAGCCAGGACCTCAGTCACAGGCCACATTCCCCCACCATGGACACCTAGTCCATTTCCGCATCCCAGGAACTGGGTCTGGTCACGAACAAGCCAGCAATTGCCCCAAGGTTAGAGGTGGGGGAAGGGAAGGAAACCCGTAAGCGAAAGCTCTGGAAGTTGGATATGATTCCACACAGGTTACAAAGCCCCTTCCAGCATCGCCTGTGACCCTGGCAGCCCCCTGGGATGTTGTTATTATCATCCCAGTGTTGTACTCAAGAAAACCCGGGCTCAACGAGTCCAGCTTAAGGCCACCCTCCGAAATCTAGCTCTCCAGACCATATTCCTCCAGCAGACCTGTTCATGCAAAGGCTAGGCTGAGGTCCGGTAGTGGCCCCCAGACACCTAAAGGCCACCTGACTGTTCTCACATCACCAGATGGGACTGAAACCCACACACAGAGCAGGGTGGCTCCCATGGGTTCCAGTTCGATACCAGGAAACGGAAACAAATTCTCCCACGTCCTCATTCTTGTCTTGGTTGCTTTTCCAGGGACCACGCCTCACTCTGCCGGCCAAAGCCAGACCACGGACCAGAAGGCGCAGGCTCCAGGGCTCTCCAGCTCTGCCGTCATGGTGACGCTGCCTGCCTCCCGGCACCTCCCTGTATCTCGGCCTCCCGGTGCCAGACCAGACTCTGGCCACGCTCGGCCCCAGACTCATCCTTGGAGGTCAGCCTCTGGAAAGAGTGCTCCCAGCCCTCCCCGCTGATAGCTGGGGCACACAAGCACCATTGTGGGGCTGATCATTGGGCCCCACCAGCCCACACACACAAAACAATATTCTCTCTTCCTCTGTCTTCTCTCTCGCTCTCTATCTCTTGCGCACGTGCGCACGTTCTCTCTCCTCTCATTGAATGTGGGAATTTCGATTACATCATCTCGGCACCTGCTGGCTACCACAACTGGAGAGCAAGGTTTCATCCTCTCTCCGGGGGAGCTGAGCCCCCCCACTGCCCCTAAACTGCCCTTCCTAGTACCTTGGTTCAGGCAGCCTGGACCTTGAACTCAGCGTGGTTCCCTCGGCTGCAGACTTTGGGAGTAGGGGCCAGGGCCATGACCACCACCATAGAGTTTTCCATGGCATCCATGTTGGGTTTCCGCCAGCCATACTAACTGTGAGGAGGGTGCAGAAGGGCCCACAGTCCTAACCGTCAGCCCTGCCCAAAGGAGATGAAGTGGTTTAAATAAAAGGAGCAAGAAGGCACTGGAAATAAAGGTAAATGAGCCAAGGTCCAGCCATGGTGAGCGGGAAGATGCCCCCCCCCCACCTCCCCCGAACCCAGCCTGAGGCGAGCTGAGGCCATTAAGCAGCAAAAATGCATCGGAGCCTTCCAGCAGCAGTACTACAAGCAAGTGCTGCTTCTAACCGAAGACGACTTAGATTGCCCAGGGCAGAGAATCCTTCTCAGGCATCAGATTCTAAAAAGAATTTGATAGTTGGCGTCTTGTCTAGGGAATGTTGAAGATGGTTTCTCTGAGGAGTTTTGCAAAGGATGCAGTGCAGAGTCTCGTCTGGCGCTTCTGTGTTCAGCTAGCAGCACAGAATATCTGCAGAATATCTCCTCAGGGGCACAAGCCAGGGAGGCCAGGCCACTGAGAAGGGCTTGCCGACCAGGACAAAGTCACAGCCCAGGACACTGACAGCACAGGCATCTTGCAGGTGGTTTCCGCTCCTCCTCTGCCCCGTGTTCCCAGCCGCCAGTGAGTCCTAGAGCTTCAGAATCCTCCCCTGCCCCGTCTCTGAGTGCTCTAGTGGGAGTCCTCTCCCCCGCCCCTCCAACATGGCCCCAGAGGTTCTCAGGAGAAGCCCCCACACCCTGGAAGTCAGGCGGAGTCCTCGGGGGGACACGGAGCTCTACGGAGATTTCACAAGCAATCAATTAAAATAAGTCCCAGGTCCCCTCCCAATTCCTTCCCCTTCCCAACCCAGCACCAACGCTTCACAGATGGCCTGGAATGGAGTGGGAATGGGGACACGTGACTGGGAGAAACAGATCAGTTCTTTCACCCCCCACCCCCCGCCCCCTGCCTGCAATGAAGATGTTCCAGCTGCCTCATGTCTGTGGAACTCAGGTCCAACCCTCAATCCAAAACTCTTGTGTGTCATATGCCTTCTTCTTGGAGGACACAGTTTGGCCCTGACCTTATACCTACCAGTCACCTTGACATGGGAATCCAGGCTACCTAACCCAACCACGCAGGACTGGGGTCAGACACCTGACCTTCAGAGTTGCCTGCCTACATAATGCCAGCCCTACAGGAGGGGACCAAGAGGGGCCTGAGTCATCAGCCCTGTAGTGACCCCTGTCAGCCTGCCAGTGGCCACCAAGATGCCTAAGCACCCACTATAAACACAAACACATTGTCCTTTTTTTTTTTTTTTTTTTTAAGATTTACTCATTTTTGAAAGAGAGCTTGCAAACGGGGAAGGGGTAGAGAGAGGGGCAGAGGATCCAAAGCAGGCTCTTTGCCAACAGCAGTGAGTCCAATTCGGGGCTTGAACTCACCAACCGGGAGATCATGACCTAAGCCGAAGTGGGACACTCAACCGAATGAGCCCCGCAGGCACCCCGCAAACACATTATCCTGTTCTGATGAGGCATAATTTTATGTGAGGGAACATTCGTGTGGTCTGTTTCTGCATAACAGATCATCCCCCACACCTAGGAACTTAAAGAAATAAACACTTAGTATCTCACACAGTTTCTGTGGGTCAACAGTTTGGGGATGGCCTTGCTGGGCAGTTCTGGTTCTGGGTATCGCTCACGATCTCAGGCTGGGCTACAGGCACCGGAAGATTCGACTGGGACCGGAAGATCTGTCCTCAAGATGGTTCACACACATGGCTGTTGGCGGGAATCTTCACTCCTTGCTGGCTACTAACCAGAGACTTTGATTCCTCCCCATGTGGATCTTGCCAGAGAGCTACTGGGGTGTCCTTACAACACAGCAGCTAGTCCCACCCCCCTCCAGCAAGTGATCCGAGAGAGAATAAGAGGGAAGCCCCATGCCTTTCATCACCTAATCTCAGAAGGTACACCATCAATCCTACCACTTCCTCTTCGTTAGAGCGCAGCCACTAAGTCTAGCTCACACTCAAGGGAAGGAGGTTAGGTGCCATCTCTTGAAGGGAAGTATCTAAGAATTTTTGAACATGTTTTAAAAGGGGACTTCCTCATTCAAATAGTTGCCAGACTTCTATCAAACTCTAACGTTTTTTCAAGAGGTGTCCATCAGAGAATTAGTTAAGGTGGTTCCCGGGACCCTCCAGCGACAAGAGACTTCCACCAGGCAGGGAGAGAGCCAGAGGAAGAAGGCATGTGTAAGAGAGGGAGGGTATTGCTATGGTGTGGCTTTACAGTGGGGACATGTTATTACAAACCGGTCCCATCGTCTCTGCACTCTTGGGTTTAACCTGCCAGTTTATGTCGTCTTAACACTTAGCCTTTCAGCCTAGCCAGGAGCCCGCCGGATGTGAAGATCACTCTCTCTCCTTTACTCCCTCCCTCCTTCTGTCCCCCTCTCTGTCTTTCTTTCCTCAGCTCACCTAAGAATGATTCGAAATCGAAAGTCGATTTAACAATTTATCCAGAGAACTACAACTGGTGTCTTACTGATGATACTCCTAGTTTGGGCACTTCTTATTGGGGGACAATGAAATGGACACTGGATTTTATCTGTCAGAGGCTATGTCTGCGGTCAGATCCTTTCATTTCCAATAATCACACTCAATGTCCATAAAAAACTTCATTGTACACAGACTCACATAAACCAGGACACGTCTTTGGTGAAGATCAAGGGAGACACCTGATCTCCCCATGACTTGTACACTCACAGAAACTGGGGACCAATAAGTAAGGGGAGCCAGGTAGCAAGAGCACCCACTCTGCTGGTGACCCTCAATGCAGAAAACTCCCTTCAGTCAGTCTCTGTAGAGGCCCACCCAAAACTGGGACACCCAGGTTCCTATAAGCGATAATAAGAAATAACCCCCCATTGCAGGAAGGGACATTTGTCCTTTGTTGACCTTGGCCAGAAAGTGGAGGAGGAAAAAGTCTCCCCTGAGAATTTATATCCACGAGGCAACCCTCACACCACAGGCGACCTAAATCCCCACACCAATTGGGCGTCCCAAAAACCTCCAATGGAAAAGTTTAATTTAAAGAGATCTTAGGTGGGGCGCCTGGGTGGCTTAGTCGGTTAAGCGTCCGACTTTCGCTTAGGTCATGATCTCGCGGTTCGTGGGTTCGAGCCCCGCGTCGGGCTCTGTGCTGACTGCCAGCTCAGAGCCTGGAGCCTGTTTCAGTCTGTGACTCCCTCTCTCTCTGACCCTCCCCTGCTCACGCTGTCTCTCTCTCTCTCTCCTAGAAATAAATAAAACGTTAAAAAAAAATAAAAAAATTTTTAAAAAAAATAAAGAGATCTTAGGTTCATAGTACCGCCAAGAAAGAGGGGGGCAAGAAAGGCAAGCAACGATGAACAACGTAACGAACAGAAAGCGTGTAAGATGATGGAAACAGAACATATCGGGAATCAGAACAAATGCAAATGGACTAAGTCCTGCAGATAGAAGCCAGAGATTATCAGATGAATATTTTATAATCCCGCGTGCTGTGTCTAAGAGATACCTTTAAAGCCTAAGGATAGACTCAGTAGGGACTTTATCCCTTTTTGTTCCTAGGGAACCAAACTGAAATATAATCTTCAAGGGCAAAGTCACCAAGTGAGGGCCATCCAATTTTGTAAGTTAAGCTTGCTTTTGAGTGCTGAGGATTGCTGTTAGAGACAGCTCTCTGCAGCACTGTGCCGGATAATGTAGTCTTCGATGCAGTGTTCGTTTTAGAAAATGTGAAGAAAGGCTCAAGATAATAGTCAGGGCAGATGAGGTACACAGAGCATACAGACGTCTCTATCACTGAACCATGTCTGTGAAATGAGCCATAGAAATCTAACCTCCAAATTCCGTTAGGAAGATGCTGCAAGTTGACATGTATAAGACACATGCAAGTCAAGCACTGTGCTACAGGCTCAGAAGCAACATATGATCACGGGCATGGATGAGATCAAACATCCTGGAGGGGTGTGTGGGCGGAGCAGTCGATTAAGCTTTGACCTGGGCTCAGGTCATGATCCTGCAGTTTGAAATTTCAAGCCCCAAGCCAGGCTCTGTGCTGACAGCTCAAAGCCTGGAGTCTGCTTCAGATTCTGCGCCTCCCATTCACTCTCTGTCCCTCCCCCACTCGTGCGTGCTCTTTCTGTTTCTCAAAAATAAAAAAAAAAAAAATTTTTAAAAACATTTAAAAAAAATTAAGATCAAACATCCTGGGGCTCAGATTATAAACACAAACAGCACTAGCTGAATAAAACATTTATCCTGCACCCAAAAAGATAAAAAACACTGAATTTGATGATCTTCCTTGGATGCTTTTCATTCTTCTGTGACTGTGGAAATAAATATTGTTCATATGTGTAACTCATTACCAAAGACTGTTGCAGTAGTTCTTTCCACATTTGAGAAAAGGGCCAAGGAATTCCTGGAAGTCTTTCAAATTCAGGGTGAGGATTTCCATTCTAGAAATGAGTGCAGAGTGCCGCCATCTTGTGGTTGTTTCATGCAATTTCCTTTCCCGAAGTTCTTCCTACTCACTGGAATTTAAAAAGCATATTCCAGGGGCGCCTGGGTGGCTCAGTCGGTTAAGCATCCGACTTTCGCTTAGGTCATGATCTCGCGGTTCGTGGGTTTGAGTCCCGCGTCGGGCTCTGTGCTGACTGCCAGCTCAGAGCCAGAAGAATAAAAATCTGTGACT